TCCACCCTCCCACTGACTGCCGAGGGGCCACCGCTGCTCCTTGGGTGTCCTTTGCTTCCAAGAAACCACCCTTTCTTGGTTTCTCTCTAGCCTCACTTCCCTTGAGTCTTTGAGCAGCTCCTCCTGCTGTACTGAACTTCCAGATACCGGAGCGTCTCAGGGCTCAGACTCGGGTCTCCTCCACGGTTACTCTCCCCCCAGGCCATCGCATTTAGTTTCATGGCTTTAGTCAAGTATCAATGACTCCACGATCTGTATTTTCAACCTTGACCTCTGCTGAGACCCAGATTGGATAACTAACTTCTCACTCGACCTCGAGACAGGTACCTCTCAGATATCTCGATTTTGGCACATCTCAAATAAAACTGTAGATTCACTCCTAAAATTCCCTTACTGTTATCACTATTCAGTGAATGCAGCCAAAAATCTCAGTGACATCTTTGATTTTTCTTTTCCCCTCACTCTTCACACCTAAGCTGTCATGCAATATTACGTCCCAAATTTATCTCAGTTCTGCCCTTTCCCCTCCATTTTTGTCCAGGCCGCCATCATCTCTTGCTTAGACATGGCCTTAGCTTCTGCCTGCAGCCTCTGCGTGCTTGATAAGTTGCTCAGTCATGTCCGACTCTTTGCGGCCCCACGGACTGCAGCCCACCAGGCTCCTCTGTCCATGGGATTCCCCAGGCAAGGATACTGGAGTGGGTTGCCATTTCCTCCTCCAGGGGATCTTCTTAACCCAGGGACCAAACTGTTCTCTCTTGTGTTTCCTGCATTGGCAGGTGGGTTATTTACCACGAGTGCCACCAGGGAAGCCCCTGCAGCCTCTACTCCTGCCTCTTTCCAGGGCATTCTTATAAAACCTGCTGCTGCTGCTGCTGCTAAGTCACTTCAGTTGTGTCCAACTCTTCGCGACCCCATGTACTGCAGCCCACCAGGCTCCTCCATCCATGGGATTTTCCAGGCAAGAGTACTGGAGTGGGGTGCCATTGCCTTCTCTGGTCCAACCATAATGTAAACTGGATCAACTCAGTCTACTACTTCAACCATGTGAAAAGAAAGAAAGTGAAGCCATTCAGTCAAGTCCAACTCTTTGAGACTCCACGGACTGTAGCCTACCAGGCTCCTCCATCCATGGAATTTTCCAGGCAAGAATACTGGAGTGGGTTGCCATCTCCTACTCCAGGGGATCTTCCCAACCCAGGGATCGAACCTGTGTGATCTGGCTATACTCCGCTCCAGTTTCATCTGTTGATACTCCATCGCATTCAAAATGCTGCACTCACACTGGTCTTCTTTTTCCAAGTCCCTAAACACACCAAGGCCTGTGCTCATACTGCTCTTTTTTCTCTTCCTGGTCTCACATGGGTAAATTTTCCTAATTTTCAGGTACCATGTCACCTTACGGAGGCCTTCCAAAGTACTCATCCTAATTAAGGGAAGTCTTCCTCAGTCCTTCCCTCTCAACCTGTTTCCTTGCCTGGCTGCAAGCTCGGTTCTATGTTGGCCTTATTCATTGCCTCCTGTGCCTAGCACAACATAGGTACTCCATAAATAATACACATGTTGAGTAGTGAATGACTGCATAATCTTCAGAAAGGGATGGTTTTACTACATTTACAGACGGCTTAGAAAACATGGTAAGGCTTGTTAATAAATGGGCTGCTCAGAGCCAGAGACACGAAGACGAGCTGTGTCGAGCGTGCTGGCCATGTGCACACGGCACAGTGCTCTGCTTGTGCTTCTATTCACCCATGTGCTTTACTTGGGAAACGAACAAAGACGCTACGAGAAACAGTCGGATACTCTGCTGAGTTCAAAATGTGAAGACTACACAATCCTGATCAATATGTAATGGCTCCATGAAAAGAACATTAGGTTAGAGCTAGATGAATGGTAAACAGAGCATTCTTATGTAGTATGAAAACAGTCTAAAATCCAATTATTTTGCCGATATGCAGATACGAGGTATACATTTATTATTTTTTATTAGTAACATATATCTTTAACCTATTATTTTTTAAATATACTGAAATAAAATAGTAACCAAATGAAGTACACTGTAAAGTTAAAGTTTTCAAACACTCTACTCATATGAAAGGCTAAATTTATTTCACAGTTTGCTTGTAAGAGTTAACAACTAAAATGAAGTTGTAATATAGTTACCTGGGCAATCTGAGGAATTTGAGGAATTGGAATAGCCAATTGCAAACCTCTTAAACTAAATATACATTATTTACACAAAAAATAGTTAAGAACTTGTAATCAGCACAAAATGTCAGCTGCAGTTGGCTATCACTGTTCAAATATCCACAAGGTGGGTCGAGACAAAGTTATGTTCTTAAAGGTCAAATAATGGCCTAAAATAGTTTATCTTAAAAAGCAGATTCGTGAAAAGACAACTCAGTACACACTGATTTCATGTCCCCAAACTTTAGTTTAGTTCAGAGACTATTTATTTGAACCATTGTTTTCTTTTCCAATAAGGAAAGGAAGCTTGATAGCACCTGAACTGATACCCCATTAAAGTTATCTAAATTACTCACAATTTCAATCAGGTTGTAAGTTAATCTGATGTTTAGCAAGTACTCTCTCAAAAGGGGTGCTGATGGCAATAGATGAAGGTCACAGATGCTGTGTATGGAGGTATATTCATGTAGTGATACTACCACTCAAGCATCGTCCTCAGATTAATACAGCAAAATTGCTACCTACAACTCTTGTGGATTTCCGAAAAATTTTAGTCTCTGGCTTGCTTTGGAGCATAATTTCAAATGAACTTTTCATTACTTTGCAAACTTTGCTTTTATTTGTATCATTTTTACCTCTGTTTAAAAAGAGCGAGGATGGGAGTTTTCCAGCTTGTTTTGGAAGAACACACCCAGTTTCATGATTAGTGTCTGTCTTGTCATTAAAGAATATATTTTACAGTAGAAAGCCATGTGAAAATAAATGTAAAGTCTTACTGACATTAAGGTGTTTAATAGCATAATAAGAGGGACTCGAAACACACTGCCTATCTTGCTGGCTGGTGCCTTTCACAAAAACCTGTTAGCATTTGGATAAATGGATTCACAAATTAATAAAACTATCACATTAAAAATACATTATATTTATTCACCAGGTAACAAACATACTAATGTTACTATGGTTCAAAGCAAATGAGAATTTAAACATTTTTTTCTTTAAATCATCTCAGAAATGTTTTCATTTTATACAACACAATGCTTTTTAAATAAAAGTAAACTAGAAGAGGTAATTTATAGAGATTATATTCCTAAATTAAAATATATTTAAGTGAATATACAGTTTCTCATTTCATTTTGCTTGGCTGGAGGATATAGTGTTTCAAAATGAAAATAAATACACATAGCCAAAATCAAAACCAAAACAAGTATGCAAAAACATTTTATTTATAATACATCAACATTTTTGACATGAAAGGAAGCCACTTTCAATTTCTCAGGAATGCCTAGAATCCAACAGTTTCCATAAAGTCTAGCTAACAATTATTTCACTGTAGGTTAAAGAAATAATTTCAGAATAAACTTTTTAAATGGCTCTGCCTATGGCAATTTATTTTTTATAAGCTTGAATGTGTGGTAAGCTAGCTTTGCCCAGGAAGTGAATGTAATCCAACTATATTCCAAGTGTATTAAAACCAGTTTATACAACAAACATGACAATCACCCATGTGTATCAGCTGTGCTCAAAAGAGAATTCTCTTTACCAAAATATGCATTTTTCAAAAAGGCCTCACATTAAACCCTTAAACCAACCACCTCCCTTCTAGGTCCAGGATCACTCTTTTCTACTTCAAGTTGTGTCACTTGACAGACAACTGTCAAATTCCAGTGGAACTGTACACTGACTTAAGACTCTATGTAATATATATCAAACACAAGAACAGTCACTGACTTTAAGAGACAGGTGATGACTGTGACCTATTAGTGAGTAAGCCAATGTCATTTTTTGTCTAGAGGGAAGAAAGCAGCCCCCAAATGTCCTGAACTTTTCTGTACCTCTCTGTAACACATGGGGTAAAAAGATAATCTCTGAAATTAAAATTCATCAGAAAATTTATCACCTTAAATAGAATGTTTTATGTAAATAAGCATTAACAGTTAGGTCCGAACCATACTTTCTTCTGTATTTCCACTTGGGAAAAAAAAATGTCACAACTATTAGCTCTTCTTACTTAAATTTAGTTTGAGTATTTAAATCTACTACACACCAGTTTGTAAAATTCACCTTGGTTACCACTCCCCACGTGTTATGTGCTCTCTTTCCTCAGGTAAGTCCATTATATTCATATAAGTGATGGGGAGATTTAAATAGCACTTAAAGAATATTCATGAGAGCGCTGAAATGTTGACAGTTACATTATTATCTGTCGACTGTAGGATTCGTAACCCAGACTCATCACAGTATTGTAAATCCTGTGTGAATGGGACGCACACAGCTCCTACAGACACACACACTGAAGTCCAAAGGCACGAATAATGCTGGTGGCTCTTTCCAGTCAAACAGCTAAGAGACAGTACAAAGTCTGCGTCATTCTTTCATAATTTAAATACTTAAGTCATCTCCATTTTCATTACTTTATAACAATGACTTCAAATTTACATTATTTTAAGTACCATTGTAATAGCTTAGTGTATCATACAAGTATTTGCTAATACCCCATCCAAAAATTAAAAAAAAACCCTCTTCACTATATATATATATAATATATAAAAAAAATATTCTGAAAGACAAGAACATAGAGGGGGGACTTGGTACAGACTATCAACTCAGTTTTTTTTTAATCACCACAGTTGGAACTCCAAAATTAACAGATACACAGCAATAATCAAAAGCAGTGCAAGTATCTTTGGAGGTTAAGATAAAATTATAATGCAAGAACAAAAACCAAAGAAATAAAAAAGGCAAGTACTTCAAGTACAAGGAACCAGTCTGCTTGAGGTCCATCTTAGTGTTTACTGGGGGCTTCCTTCCCACTCTTACTTCTTTCTCTGAAACACGTTGGCCAGCATGGCACCTGATGTTGTCAACTGACCCATTTTGTTCAAGAATTTGGTCTTCGTATCTTCACTCACTAAGCTTGCAGCAATTGACATTGAGCTAGGAAAAAGATTTTGAAATTTGTGTAAAGCAATTAAAAAATGAAAAGTATCTATTTTTTTTTCCAAGTCTTTAGTAATAGAACATTAAGAAGTACATTCTGAACTGGCATCACAAAAGGGAAACTCACACTTACGGAGTGTGAGCTTTTAGGTACCATAGTAGGTTAGTGGCTTTTGTGTCAATCATTTCTTGAAAGGAAGCCATGTGGTGTAGTGATTAGAAGCAAGTCTGGAATGAGACTGAATTCTCAGTTCTGTCATTCACAGAGTTGTGTGACTTTGGGCAAGTTATTTAATCTCTGTTTCCTCATCTATTAAATGAACATAATTCTAGTACCTACCTCATAGGGCTATTCAAGGATTATAAAGGCTTCCCTGGAGGCTCAGCTGGTAAACAATCTGCCTGCAATGCAGGAGACCCAGGTTCCATCCCTGGGTCAGGGAGATCCCCTGGAGAAGGGAGGGGCAACCCACTGCAGTATTCCTGCCTGGAAAATTCCATGGACAGAAGAGCCTGGTGGGCTACAGTTCATGGGATTGCAAAGAGTTGGACATGACTGAGCGACTAACACTTGGTCCCCTGATGAGTATGAAATGCTTATTAGCAGTGACAGGCATGTAATAGCAGGTGTAAGTGTTATCCTTCTTATTATTAGCATTACTTAATTTAATTCTTATAGCAACCCTGGAAGATAGATATTATTCTTATCTTCACAAATGAGTAAACAAAGCCACCCTGAGGTCTTATACTGTGCCGGTAACAATCCTGTGACATATTCCTGTGTGCGGGGGGAATGGGAAGAAGAAACATGTAATCACTCGCCAACTGCACTAGTGTCGATCAACGTCAAATCTTCTTTCTCTTTAGCCAACCTTCTGTGTAGGGAGTAAGCACAATCTAAATGACTACTAAAGACTGCTGATACATCGTATTACTGAACAAAGTATTAATCAGGGACATTTTTCAGTGATTCAACAATTGTGCTATAATAAATAGATTCAGGAGTCCAGCTTACTGGCTTTGTGACTTTGGCCAAGATGCTTTAAATCACTCTGATTCAGTTTTCTCCTCTGTAAAATGCAGTTTGCAACTGTTATTGCAAAATACCTCGAGGTCTAAGTAAGAGAATATGTCTGACCCTGTCAGAGACAAGTGAGTGGCGAGCCAGGTACAGGAGCTCAACAGGTGTCTGTTAAATCTACACATGGAGTAAGCGCTGCTGCCAAGGACTTCTGGCTCTGTGTGGTCTTTAAAGGTGTGCACCGTGTGTTACTCAGGTCAGCAGCTGACCACGACAGCCGTCTTGAAAACCTCTTTTTCCTTTTGCTCTTCCACCAGTACCTCCAGCTGGTGTGTCCCCGTGTCTCTGACCCCTCCTCTCTTGCTGGTGTTCCCCTTCCCACAAGTACTCCTCCACCAGGCTCAGTATCTGACTCTAGTTCTTCAATTACAAAACATGCTCATTCTCTATGTTTCAAATAAATTTCCACAGGATGACTCCAAAATATTTATTGAAACACAACACTTTGCTGAGGGCCAGAATCATCAACTGTTGTATACTAGATAAAGTCAATGTCCCAAGCACTTTTTTCAGACCCTAACTTTAGAAATAAAGAGCTCCAATACTTTGGGCACCTGATGCAAAGAATCGATTCACTGGAAAACACCCTGATATTGGAAAAGGATGAGGGCAGGAGAAGGGGACAACAGATGAGATGGTTGGATGGCATCACCGACTCAATGGACATGGAGTCTGAGCAAACTTGGGGAGATGGTGAAGGATGGGCAAGCCTGGTGTGCTGCAGTCCATGGGGTTGCAAAGAGTCAGACACGATTTAGTGACTCAACAACAACAACAACCCCATTTTTATTTCTTTCCTTGCCAGTAGTTCTATCATTTTCCTCTCTTCCTAGCAGTGAATATGATGGCTCTCAAACTATCATCAAATCTTGTGACTTTACAACATCTCTATCGTTTACTTTTATTTCTAATGCCAATACTTTACAACTGGATTATTCCAACAATCTTGGATCTGGGCTTCTTGTATTAGTCACTCACCACTTAAATAATCACTTCTTTATATCACACCCCTTCTCAAAATCTTCAGTGGCCACTTACTACCTCCAAGATAAAATATGCATGGGATTCAAGAAACAGCCATCTGATTCTTGTGTGGGTGTGTGTTTTAAGCCAACCATCACCGAGTAACTCCTCGACTCCCTTGAGTCATGTTTGCCTAGTCTGTTTGAACTATTCTCAACTTAAATATCTCTTCTTTGCTGTCTAGCCAAGTTTTAAATTCCATGATGCCTTTCCTTAACACTGTAGGTTAAGTACTGTTTTCTTTCTGTAGGAAAGTGTTAAGTCAGAAGATAAGGTTTATTTTAGTCTGCATCTAGAGAAACAGGAGACATGGGTCAGATAATATTTGAGATACCATCAACTCATTGATTCTCAGAGGAGCACAACAATATGCTAAGGAGTCTAGAAACCAGGACATAAAAGTGAAAGGAATGACCAAAGTTTAGCTTGGTGGAAAGTTAGCAGGCTTAAGATACCTTCCTATGAAAAATGAAACATATAATATACATCTGCACAGCCGTGTACATCTACAGAGACCTACTGAGGCACATCACAATTATCTGGGGAACTTTTTGATATGGATATCTAGACCTAACCCCAGTGATTCTGATTTTTTCCTTCCAGGGTAGAGGACCCAGGTATGTATTTTACAAAGCTTTCTAGTAAAGCACCACTGCATTATAGCATTTTTTTTTGTTTGTTTTTCTGAGGAGTTTGTATTTTTTATTACTTTGATAAGAGAGTCTGACTCTGACCCCTTGCCAAAACTTGCTTTAGAGAGTAGATGTTACAAGAAGGGAGACTTTAACTCAGAATATGAAAGGAATTTTTAAAAAACCAAGTGGTTAAAAATGAAATGGGACTGCCTTGTAAAGTACTGTCTTCTTACTGCAGGCTTTCAAGGAAATCTCAGACTTTTCCATTGTAATTCATAGCTTCCCATTACTTGTTGATTCTGCATCTATAGAACCTCTCTTGCTTCTGGCCTATTTTAAAAATTATTTATGTCCTAGAATACTTCTCTCTCTGTTCACATCACTCTATCTTACAAATTGAAGACCACTACTCCTTCTCTTTTAAATTCTTGTTTGATTTTTTGACACCACTCTGAATTCCCTCCTAATTCTAAGCAAAGCTTCTCATGAAGTGAAGTGTTAGTCACTCAGTCGTGTCTGACTCTTTGCAACCCCATGGACTGTAGCCCACCAGGCTCCTCTGTCCATGGGATTCTCCAGGCAAGACTAGTGGAGTGGGTTGCCATGCCCTCTTCCAGGGGATCTTCCCGACCCAGGGACTGAACCCGAGTCTCCTGCACTGGCAGGCGGATTCCTTACCACTGAGTCACCTGGAAAGCCCAAGCTTCTTCTAGATGCTGCATTTTAAACACTGGTCTAATTTTCTATCTGAGCCCTCTTTCCAAGTGAGATCCACCTCCACCCCTCTAATTATCACTGATATTCTAATAGTTCCTAAATCTCAGTAACTGCTTGCAGTGGTTTTCTAATTGTACTTCAAACTGTAAATAAACACTTCTCTTGAGAATAGCTCCACTTGGTTGTACTGTGCCATCATCCAACCTAGAAATCCTTAGATTCTAGTTCTCTCTTAGTCTAATCTGTTGCCAAGTTAAACTGAATTCATATCTGAATATATCCTGAATTCACCTTAATTCTCATACTCACTGTTATAAGTTGAGTAATGAATACATGAGGATTCATTATATCATGTTTAGTTTTGTGTCTATTTGAAATTCTGTGGAATAAGTATTTAAAAAAATGATAATACAGAAGATTTGAATAATACAGGAAAACTATGATTATAAAAGTGAACTTTTCTTTTTAAATGGAAAGTCATATAACCAAAGGCATCTCAGGAAGGTACAGAGATTTCTTTCTTGTAAAACTCCTGCATGCTAATTTATGAAAGGTCATTTAGAATGTATTTCACATACAATTTTTCTCAATTTTGGTCCCAAACCTTTTACATTTTAAACTAATAAGGCATCAAAAATGTTCATATTAAATGTACAAAAATGAACAGAATTATATGCTTTAATGTTAACTTTATGGATTTTGTGTTCAGAGTAGAAACCTATCAAAGTATTTCTATTTTATAACTTTCTATGGCTAAAATGATAGAAGAACTCCCACCATTCAAGGAGACTAAGGCAACAGTTCTGACCTGTGGTAAGGGGCAAAAGACTGTATGTGTGTATGTGTGTGTGTGTGTGTGTGTGTGTGTGTGTGTGTGTGTATGTACACGTGTGTATTGGGGTTGGGAGTGTGGAGGAAAAGATGTGTGTGTGTGTATATTGGGGTTGGGAATGTGGAGAAAAAGACTCGTGTGTGTGTGTGTGTGTGTGTGTGTGTGTGTGTTGGGGTTGGGAGTATGGAGGATTTTCTGTATGGGTACCTGGCCTGACAAGATGAAACACATATTCCTGGTAGTCACTTTTATAAAGGAAACACCTTTGAGTTTTTCATGCCTAACAGATTCCATTTAAGATTAACTGTTCAAGGTTACTTTAGAAAAAGTACAACAGACTATTTATAAATTACTTCCTGTCCTGAAATGACCAAATTTATTCTTCACATCTATGTTCATATTTTAATTTCACTAAATCTTTGACTCTAATTAGTTTGGTTAGAAGCATATGACTAGAATTCACATGCTGACCATCCTTTATGCAGTGAATCACATTAAATGTTACAAGTCTTGTCACAAAGTTTTAGAAACTATTTTCACCAGTGATTCCCAAATCCAACTACCTATCAATATCTCTTTGGAAGCTTTTATTTATTTTATTTTTTAATGTTTTATTGAAGTATAGCTTATAAGGGCGTCCCTGATAGCTCAGGTGGTAAAGAATCCACCTGCAATGCGGGAGATCCCGGTTCGATTTCTGGGTCGGGAAGATTCCCTGGAGAAGGGATAGGCTACCCACTCCAGCATTTTTGGGCTTCCCTTGTGGCTCAGCTGGTAAAAATCTGCCTGCAAAAGTAAAATTTAAAAAAAAAAAAAAGAATCTGCCTGCAACGTGGGAGACCTGACCTGGAAAAGGTCAGTTTTCATTCCATTCCCAAAGAAAGGTAATGCCAAAGAATGCTCAAACTACCTCACAATTGCACTCATCTCACACACTAGCAAAGTAATGCTCAAAATTCTCCAAGCCAGGCTTCAACAGTATGTGAACCATGAACTTCCAGATGTTCAAGCTGGATTTAGAAAAGGCAGAGGAACCAGAGATCAAATTGCCAACATTTGTCAGATCGTTGAAAAAGCGAGAGTTCCAGAAAAACACTACCTCTGCTTTATTGACTATGCCAAAGCCTTTGACTGTGTGGATCACAACAAACTAAGGAAAATTCTTCAAGATATGGGAATACCAGACCATCTGACCTGCCTCCTGAGAAATCTGTATGCAGGTCAAGCAACAGTTAGAACTGGACATGGAACAACAGACTGGCTCCAAATCGGGAAAGAAGTATGTCAAGGCTGTATATTGTCACCCTGCTTATTTAACTTATATGCAGAGTACGTCATGAGAAACGATGGGCTGGATGAAGCACAAGCTGGAATCAAGATTGCCGGGAGAAATATCAATAACCTCAGATATGCAGATGACACCACCCTTATGGCAGAAAGTGAAGAGGAACTAAAGAGCCTCTTGATGAAAGTAAAAGAGGAGAGTGAAAAAGTTGGCCTAAAACTCAACATTCAGAAAACTAAGATCATGGTATCTGGTCCCATCACTTCATGGCAAATAGATGGGGAAACAATGGAAACAGAGCCTTTATTTTCTTGTGCTCCAAAATCACTGCAGATGGTGACTGCAGCCATGAAATTAAAAGACACATGCTCCTTGGAAGAAAAGCTGTGACCAACCTAGACAGCATATTAAAAAGCAGAGACGTTACTTTGCCAACAAAGGTCTGTCTAGTCAAAGCTATGGTTTTTCCAGTAGTTATGTATGGATGTGAGAGTTGGACCATAAAGAAAGCTGAGAGCCGAAGAATTGATGCTTTTGAACTGTGGTGTTGGAGAAGACTCTTGAGAGTCCCTCGGACTGCAAGGAGATCCAACCAGTCCATCCTAAAGGAAATCAGTCCTGAATATTCATTGGAAGGACTGATGCTGAAGCTGGAACTCCAACAATTTGGCCACCTGATGCGAAGAACTGACTGACTAGAAAAGACCCTGATGTTAGGAAAGATTGAGGGCAGGAGAAGAAGGGGACAACAGAGGATGAGATGGTTGGATGTCATCACTGACTCGATGGACATGAGTTTGAGCAGGCTCTAGGAGTTGGTGATGGAAAGAGAGGCCTGGTGTGCTGCAGTCCATGGGGTCATAAAGAGTTGGACATGACTGAGCGACTGAACTGAACTGATAGATATATACAATATTATGTAAGTTACAAGTGTACAATATAATGATTCACAATTTTTAAAGGCTATATTCCATTTATAGTTATTATAAAATATCAGCTATATTCCCTATATTGTACAATACATCCTTGTAATTTATTTTATATACAATAGTTTGTTCCTCTTAACCTTCTACCCCTATATTGCCCCTCCCCCTTTCCAGTAACCACTAGTTTGTTTTCTGTATCTGAGTCTGTTTCTTTTTTGTTATATTCACAATCCTGTTGTATTGTTTAGATTCTACGTAAATGATATCATACAATATTTGTCTTGCCCTGACTTATTTCACTTGGTATAATACCCTCTTTTTTATGGTGTAGTAGTATTCCATTATGTGTGTGTGTGTATACACAGACATACACACATCTTTATCCACTCATCTGTTGATAGACACTTAGTCAGCTTCCTTATCTTGGCAATTGTAAATAATTTTGCTATGAACATTGGGGTGCTCATCTCTTTGAATTAGTGTTTTGGCTGGAAGCTTTTAAATATACAGATCTCTAGGCTGACTCAGACAAAGAAGGCAATAGCACCCCACTCCAGTACTCTTTGCCTGGAAAATGCCATGGATGGAGGAGCCTGGTGGGCTGCAGTCCATGGGGTCGCTAAGAGTTGGACACGACTGAGCGACTTCACTTTCACTTTTCACTTTCATGCACTGGAGAAGGAAATGGCAGTCTACTCCAGCGTTCTTGCCTGGAGAATCCCAGGGACAGGGGAGCCTGGTGGGCTGCTGTCTATGGGGTCGCACAGAGTCGGACACGACTGAAGCGACTTAGCAGCAGCAGCAGCAGGCTGACTCAGAAAGATGAGGGCCCAGAGAATGAGGCAGAGATCTGAATCTTAAATTTCCTAGATGGTTTATGGATTAGTATGTGTGAACTGCCCATTTAAAGGCTTTTCTTGCCTTCTAAATTAATTACCACAAAACAACACAATATAAAACACTTTACCCACTGACAAAAATTTTATGTAGAGAAATTAAGGTTAACACAAAGCCATAAAAAAGAATTAAAGTCTTACCCTTGAGGCTCTTGGACGGTCTTGTTCTCTACTTTTTGTTCACATTCTTTTATCATGGAAGTTAAAATAACCTGATTTAAAAAAAATTGACTTTAGTGAAATATAGGTAGCACAGTAAAATTAAAGCTTTTAATTGAATATTTAATATTGCCATAAGCTAATGTGTTAATTAAAAGAGGAAACTTTTGGCAGTTACTTTGTTAAAGGCTTGCCTCTTGTTTGTTCTGTTCTACAGACAGCCTTCATCTTCGATGCAAAAGTCCTGAACAAAATACTAGCAAGTTGAATCTACCTTCATATATTAATAAAAGGAATTATGCATCATAACTAAGTGCGATTTTTTAGAGGAGTTCAAAGGTTGTTTTAGCATATAAAAACCCATTAACATCAAGTATTGTGAGAATAAAAAACCATAACTATGTAATCATCTCAACTGACTCAGAAAAATATATTTAACAATATCCAACCAACCCTCATGATAAAAATACTCAACCAACCAGCAATAAAAACAAATTCCTTCAGGTTAGTAAAAGGCAACTATAAAATGTACAAAGCACAATATGGAAAAAGCTAAAAAGAGGGAACAAAAGCAATTCCCAATCATAATTTTAACATGTCTTTCATAGCTGATAGAACAAGTAGATCACAAAAAGATAATACAAATGTAAGAGAACTGTCTCATAAAATTAACTCTCTCTACCTCATGAAGCAAAAATCCATGGATCAATAAAGAAATAATGGAAATGAGAATCTAATTTGAACTAAATGATAACAAAGCTACAATGGTGCAAAAGGGATGTGGCTAAAGGAACACTGAGAGCCTTAAATTTATGTATCAGAAAAGAAAAGTTAACAAGTAAAAAATCCAAGCTTCCTCCTTAAGGAGTTAGAAAAAACCAGGGGGAAAAAAAAATTAAACCTAAAGAAAGCAGAAGGAAATAAAGATGAAAATAGCAGTCAAACTAAGAAACAGAGAAAAATCAACAGTCAAAAGTTCAATATTTAAGAAGGTTAATAAAATTCATAACCCCTAACAAAACTAGTTTAAAAAGAAAGCAAAAAACAAATTAATATCAGAAGTAAAAAGGTACAGCAATATAGAGCCTACAGTAAGGAAAAGGAAAAAATACAGTAAAAGTATTAGAAAATAATATATTATTTACTATAATAATGGTGACTTTCCTGCATTTGAAACTTATTTAAAAAATCCAGATACATTTTATTATTAGAATTAAAAATAAAGTTTCTCAGGTTAGCCAGACATAAATTCAACATAAAAAGTTATATACATTTTTAAACACTGATAACAAAGGGTTAAAAAACATATAATCCTAAAAAAAGTTAGCATTATAACATCATAAATATAAGGTGACAGTTTTTTTCAAATGAAATTATAAAACTTTACTGAAAGACATTAAAGGAGATCTAAATAAATGTAAGATACAGTATGTTCTGGATGCGTGCGTGCATGCTAAGTTGCTAAGTTGTGTCTGACTATTTTTGACCCCATGGATTGTCCATGGAATTTTCTCGACATTACTAGAGCGGGTTGCTATTTCCTCCTCCAGGGTATCTTCCTGACCCAGGGACGGAACCTGTGTCTCTTGCACCTTTTGCATTGGCAGGTGGATTTTTTTTTTTTTTTTACCACTGAACCTTCTGGGAAGCCCCATGTTCTAGATAGAAGACTCAAAATTATGAAGTTGATGTCTCTCCCAATTGATTTAATTAAACATCAGAATCTGAACAAGATCATTCTTGGAACCTCGTTTAATGCTAAAATTTACATAAAAATGATAAGGGTCATGAAGAGTTCTAAAAAAAGGACAGGATGCTGAACCTGCCTGTTAGATTTCAGGACTTTTTAACAAGTGACTGTAATAAAGACAGTTCATCACAATGATACAGTTCATATCAATGTTATAATAAACAAGAAGGAGATGAGCAGAAAAAGAATGCTCCCGAGTAACAGACGCAGGCATACAAGGAAACATCAGATATGACAGAAGTGGCACTGCCAATCAGTATAGACATAATGAACTGTTCCATAAACAATAATGGGACAGTTGGTCATCTGTATAGAAAAAAACATAATTTACGCACTACCTCACATCATACATAAAAACTAATTTTAGATGGATTGTGAATTTTACTGTAAAAATACAATTTGAAACATTTTAGGAAGAAAGTATAGGAGATCATGTCTCAGAAAGATTTAATCAATCTATTAAAATTAAAAATCAGTGTTCAAATAGGCCAAAAATATGAAAAAAAAAAGGGAAAAGATATTCATAAAATACAAAATGAACAGAATACTGGTATTCCAATTATATAACAAACATCAAAGAAATAATAGGAAAAAATATAATCCAAAGTGAGAAAAGTGGGCAAAAAACCTAAAAAGGCTTTGATGTTAGTAAGCACATAAAGAATTCCAAGTTTGAAAACAATCAAGGAAATGCAATGAAAACCATCATGAGATACCACTTTCTATCTGCCAAATCTAAGGCAGTCCCAAAGCACCACGCCCTGACACAGACACGAGGAAAAGGCTCTGCACTCTGGCGCGGCTGCTCAGTACAGCACTGTGATGGCCAGTGAGCTCAGAGACAGAAGCTTTGCTGGCTGGGCGTGACGGTGGAGACGCTGCACGCCGTGTGAGGGCGAGAGTGAGCGTGGATTCCTGTCAGGGAAACAGAGGTGTGGGGAAGGAATAACGGGAAGGTTTTGGTTTGGTTTTGTTTTCTTTAGGACAGGAGAGTCAAACATGGTAATAGGCTAAAGAAAAGCTGGTAGAAAAACTGATGACACAGAATAGGAAATAAATGATAAAACAGGGAAGGAAACTGTGTCTTCCGTCCTGAGTACACAGGAAGATAAACAGAATGAGAAGCGTTATGAGGAAATGGAGACAGAAAATAGAAACTTTGCTTCTAAGAAAGCTGATGGTCTAAGATAATACTAAGATGTACAGTATTTTACAGATAAAAAGCATTTCACATACTTTCCTTGCTAAATTCTAGACAGTATGTTATGCCTACTTTAGAGAACTGAACAGAGAGATGCAAAAGGAGCTGCTTAAGATCTCATCACTAGTTAATAAATCCGTAAAATGACACTGAACTAGATTTGAAAAAATTAAGCACAGCATATCATAATCAGGCCTCACACGAAGAGGAATGAAAGTCTGTATAGGAGATAATGAACTTCCCAGGTGGTGCTAGTAGTAAAGAAACCGCCTGCCAATGCAGGAGACATGGAGACACGGTTGGATCCCGGGGTCAGGAAGACCCCCTGGAGGTGGGCACGGCAACCCACCCCAGTGTTCTTGCCTGGAGAATCCCATGGACAGGGGAGCCTGGAGGGCTACAACAGTCCACGGGGTTGCAAAGAGTCGGACATGACTGAAGCGACTTAGCACACATGTATAGGAGATATTAAAACACATGAACACGGCACTGATAATCACAATGGCTTAATCATGACAGTAGCTTACTTCGTGCTCTGGAGAAAGATGTTCCATGTCGATTCGTAAACATCTGAGACCAGGTAAAAAGTGATTAACCATTAAATCCTCTGAAATGACTTGAGAGAAGGTAGTTAAGGACATTTACAAAAACCAAACTGGTATGTCCAACAGGACAACAGAGGCATATCTCTTAAATGAGGACTACGGTATACTGATCACGTAGAGCCAACAGGCTTCCCTCAAAAGCTCCATCCTCATCTGCTGGGTTAGTTACTTGTCAACAGTCAACTGTGTTTATTGTCATAAATCTCTTCATGTCAAAAGCGTTCATTATTGTAACAGCACATAGCTTAATAACATGGTATATAGACATATGAAATAATAAGGGTGAAAATGAAATCATGAAATTTAATTGGATGTTTAAAAGAGGATAAAAAGAAAATTAATATTTCCATGACAATTAAGTTGAAAGTCCAGTTGCTTAAAACATTGCTGTTTAAAATATTATGCATATTAAATTAAAAAGAAAAATACAAAAATCTAGAAAAATTCACTATCCATTATCAGAAATGTTTCTGGATTCTCTTTAAACAAACTTAAGCTGAAATTCAGACAATTATATTACGAATGTGATTATTCTAAGAAGGCTGATGTTTACAACTCTAATCAGCAGACTCACAAAAGAAATGCCTTAACTACATCAAAAGACTGGTAAAATAAGTTACATTTATGTGTTTTAAGTTAAAAGAAGTTACCTTAGGCATGTATCATTTTCTTGATTTCTTACTTCAACCATTCTGTTAAACTGACCCATACTGGTCCTGACTGAATTGGGCGAGAGAGGTTTTGCTGTAGTAAGTTTAGTACTACCTATATTTCTTAGTCATATGAGTTTTAGTTGATTATGTGACATTGAAAGGAGTCAGGAAAGCAGATGCATTTATCAAGAAAACAATTCACCCTGTTCATTCACATTACTTAATGACACTTTCTCACCTATCATAGTTATGAGCCATTTAAAAATAGTTCTTATTTAATATTATACCATATTAATATTAAAGTGATAAGTGCCAGTAAATGACTTCCCCTATAAAGATGAGCTGATTTTTCTGAACTAAATTATAATAAACTTCATTAAGTAAAAAAATCCATATAACTACTGCCTTGAAAATACAGTTATTTTCAAGAGAGAGAGGAATAAATCCTCCTCTCTACTCACTGTTTGGTCCTCTTCCCTATGAAATCCCACAGTCCTTCTTAGGATTTGGAAACTTACAGATCATTTAGTCCTATCTGATGTTAGAAACCACCTCTACCTCATCCGTGAATGATGGTCATAAGGCCTCTGACTGCCTACAGTGACAGGATGTTTAGTTTCATAGTAGAGGTCACTGTACTTTTAGAGAACTCAGAAAGCTCTTCTCAGACCACAGGCCTCGCTGCTTGTCAGTGTTTGCTCCACACCTTAGTTATACAAATGGGCCTAGGTTTTTTTCTACATAACAGCCTTTAAAATAATTTTCGAATAATCTTTTCATCCCTAAACCATTTCTTTTCCAAGTCAAATATTTCAAGACTCCTTCAAACTTTATATTAAACATCATTTCTTGATGTAACACCTTGCCAAACCTATTAAAATAAGATGTTGTGTTCTATCAATTCAGAATGCAATGGAACAGCAGGACAGACATAGACAATGTGCTTTTCTTAGTGGCCATAACTACCCTGTTGACACAAGTACAAGTTCTGACTCAGATGGAACTACTAGTACAGGGTCTGCTGTTAAGATGAGTCTTCCCCTTACTGTGCTGGTATAAAGACTTTTCACCTCATTCTCTCTACAGCAGTATTCTGCACATACCTAAATATACAGTAACACTCCTATACAGACGTCTGTGCTTTTCAGAAACCACGGCCGTGTCTACTTGGAAAATTAGGTTTACAGAGCTAAAATTTTTGATCTTTCTTTTTTTGACTGTCTCATTTTCTTTGAGGCATATTCCTTTTGAAACGCTAAGAAAATATAAAATTACACGTAACTGTTCACTTAGTTCGTAAACATTTACTTTCGCAAAGTTTAGGAAACAGGTATAAACATATACATGTTTTCTTTCTTTGATATGCCACACTCTGACATGCCATTATTACTTTTTTGCAAGGGTCCTGTCACTTCTCCATTACTAACGAGTCCTTCCTTGTGAATTCACAATTATCACTTCCTCTTTTTGCTTCCTCTATCTTCTCTAAGTTGAAAATGCCAACTAGATAAAGTAGGAATGATAGTAAGTTCTGCTTTTACTGGAATTAAACTTATAGAAAATCTATAGTTAGTTGAAGCAAAATTATCAAAATATGGTATCTCTGCCCATTATATAATCTATACTATAAAAGAGTAGCTCATATCAGCCACATGACTAGGCAATTTGCAGTAGAGTCCCAAAATGAAATGCTCTCAACCATGCATCAAGCTTCAAGTTTTAACATTTTGAAAAGGACAAGCAGCTTCTTAACACACGGTTGTACATTTCTACTTTCCCTACCATCATTTTTTCTGTCCCAACCATAATTCTCTGATTATGTTGTGTGGCACATACTTTCACAGTTCTATTCAAGTGTTTAGTGTTCACTCCTCTTTCAATCTCTTATTTCACCTTTCCAGGGCTATTCTGCTTTTAATGGGAAAGCCTGAAAGCCGGAGTTCACTCTGCCCATCATTATCTTTACTTCCTTCTTAGTTTTATTTCATTTTTATTTCTTAGCTTTATTTTACTAGGTCTACGATAGTAAAGAGAACATTTAACAGGATAGCTAAAGTTATTGTTGTAGTCACAATTTTGCTTTTAAGTATTAAAAAAGAGAAGTCACTAATGTCTTCAAGTTTCAGTTTAATCATTTATAGAAAGTAGTGAGTGACATGGGTTACATGATCTCTGAGCTTTCCTCCAGTTCTGCTATCAATGCAAATGATTAACCTGGGTGGCTCCGTATTTTTTTTCAATGAGTGATATGTCTCCAAGAGATATTCATAGGATCATAAAGGTGGTTAAATATTCACTAAAAGTGAATGCCAGGACACAGACAAGGCTTCCTTTGGATTAACAGAGAAGCCTCAGCTGTAGCTCATTTGTGGCTTAAGTCATACTGCTGATTAACACAGATAAAATTTTAGTCAGTGTTTTCAAAACTATAGAACATATAAAAATAGCTATCAAGTTACCTTTTAAAATGAAGGGATGGCTAGAATGCAGAGTGGGGCAAGTCAACTCAAAGTTTTAAACTTCTTCTCTACTTCTTAGTTGAACTGAAGAAAAAATTCTACTTCTCAATCTTTAACAACTGAGGTTCACTGCAAAACTGATCCTTAAATGTAGATACACATAATAAAGCAAGGATACAGCAACAGGAAAGCGCACTGTAGGCTTCAAAGAGATGGGTGGCAATATCCAGTCTTTTAGAATCCACAATTTGTAAGTTGTTCACCAAGGCTAACTTATGCAGATGCGGTATAACAACTGAAAAGAGAAAAATAAATTATTAATTTTAGCCTAAAATGTGCTTTATCCATTTAAAAAAATAATATTTTATTTTATAAAATTTTATTTTAATTTTGGATGATTTCAAAAGATCACCCACATCCTATACTTGCTTTTTCTTACTAGGGAAGAAAGCATGTTTTTTTCAGAATAAAGAGTGACCCAGAATTTGGGAGAAATAGATTACAGCATGCCATTATAACCTAATCGTGAGGATGTACACAGGTCATTTGGCTTCACTGTAATTCAGTTTCCCAATCTGAAAAATGAAAACCAAATAAATAAATGTAAACAACCTACCTCTTGGGTTATTATTATAAAGTTTATATAAATCAGGTGTTACTGTTGCTATTAAAAGATAAATACAGTATACTTATTCTCTTTCAATATCAAATTATTTCACTACTTCATGAAAATATTATTGGCTTTAGTTTCTCAAGTTCATAGCAAAGACCAATGTCAAATAGCCCAGATGGCTGAGTTTTCAAGTCACTCAATGGGCTCAATATCTGATATCTCAATGAACAGCATAAAATTTCAAAAATACAGACAACACACTATTAAAACAAAAGTGATGGTCCAAGAAACAATAACCACTTAAGTAACATTGAGCACCCCTACTGCCTAAGATCATGATCTCTAAATACCATTTCCCACTAAAACCAAGGTTCCTTGGAGAAATGGCGCCAGGGTAAATGATTATCAAGTTGTTGATCACAAGGTTCTTTTCTCATCCCTGCTTGGCTGGGGGACTCAAAATGTGGTTCATAAGCACATATTCTGACCAACTGCAGTGACTTCTTTCATGTTTACATTGAATTTGCATAGGTTAAAGCCATAATCTCCTTATCGAAAAACCTTCTTTCTCAATAGATCAGCACTGTAATTATAATCTTTAAGCTTACCTTAGTAAATGTAAAAAAAAAAAAAAAACCCACAAAAACTTAGGACAACAACAGCCATTTTTAGGGGACTTTTTGACTTGTCAAAATTGGTAACAACATACTTAAGAGGTGTTCTAAAAACATAAGTATAAGACAAAAAACTTCAAATATTCATTGAATTCCTAATGAATTCACTGAAACTTTGATTTCATTAACTGGCATGCTGAGGCCTCAACAAAATGGTGGCTCTGAGACAGTCTCTCAAAGATTCTTTATTTCATTTCTGCCCAAACTTACCTTCCTTGCACTTGTTTATCTATAAAAGTGTGGCCTCTCTATTCATTCTGCTCATTCTCTGTTATTTCTTTTTTTGTTGTTGTTATTTCTTATTCAAGCAATCCTTTCCTCAATGTTTTTCTCAGAAACTCAACAACCACACTACACAATATCCCCTTAAAACTGCTCAACTAGAAAACAAACCTAAATAAGTTTCTTTATATTCTAGTCTACTGACAGTTAACAGCAATCATTTAGGATCTTCCTAAATCTCAGAAGATAGACATTTATTACAGAATTCAACATTTCATTATATAAGTACTGTCCTGGGTTACCACATCTGTACCAATTAATTCACTCAACTGTTAACCCCTCAGATGGAGATAGATGGTTAAAAGATTTAATAACCTAAATGAGTATTTCTACAAATGACCTTCAGTGGGCAAGGAAAATAGGAAACACACAACATAAGGCCACTTCTGGAGCCTTTCACTAAAAGATTCAAAACTGCAAACAAAGTAAAGATAAATCAATAGGAAACTTAAAAAAAAAAAAGATTTTAGTAAAGTTCCAAAATATATTCTGGGGTAGATCCAATAGCAAAAATGAAGGGAATCATGTCCTCTCTTTTTATAGAAGGGTTGAGATCTAAAATAAGGAACTTAAAAAAAAAACACAAAACTGATTTGAAACATAAGACTGCTATGTTAGAAAATCTCTGAAGTATGACTGAACATTTTCAGAGAGCCTTATAAAGTTAAAAAGTGGAAAACAAAGTTCTGTCATAGTCTGAAAAATATTCCCTGCTGGCTCAGACAGTAAAGAGTCTGCCCGCAATGTGGGACACCTGAATTCTTTCTCTGGGTCTGGAAGATCCTCTGGAGAAGGAAATGGCAACCCACTCAGGTATTCTTGCCTGGAAAATCCCATGGATGGAGGAGCTGGCAGGCTACAGCCCACAGGGTTGCAAAGAGTTGGACACAACTGAGCGACTTCACTCACTCACTGAAAAAACCAAATGGCCCCTGAGATAAAAATCAAAACCAAAAGGTCCTGTGATAACTAAGAGTTGGGAAAGAAAAAGTGCCACTGGATGAACTGATGTCTTCTATTCTCTAAGAAACAGAGGGGGAAAAGTGCAAAAATACCACTCCAAGAAACAGCACTTACTACCCTGCAATTCTCTGATCTTTCTCTAATTCCTAACAGTAATTGTCTATAAATACAGAGAGATAACAATATAGCATCCTTGTCAATATGGCTTCTAGTTTGTCTACCATTCATCTGATTAATACAGGACATTAAGTTCCTTGGGGTAAAGTTTTAAAGCAAAAGAGAAACCAACTGACTGAGTAGTAAATACAAAAGAAAAAAAAAAATTTTTTTGTCTTAAAAAAAGAAAAAAGGTCTAGTGCCAGAATGTGAAGGAACTGTATAAAACATACTTGTCAATCAATACAGTTAACCTGTAGGAGGCTTCAGGGACAGTGGTCACTACACCCATTCAAGCACTGGAAACTGCTATTCTAGTGCCAGAATGTGAAGGAAGACTGTATGAAACCTACTTGTCGATCAGTATACAGTTAGCCTGTAGGAGGCCTCAGGGTCGACGGTCACTACACCCATTCAAGCACTGGAAACTGCTATTCTCAATCCTTTCTCTAGCCGAACCTTGTTATTTTAGGATCACTGTGAAAAGAAAATTTCTTTTTTCTATGTAATGTGTCAGTCTTTCTCTTGAATGTACATAAAAAGGTTCGATTATGTTCTCAACAATGTGGCACCCACCAAAGGTCCACTATTCAGCCTATTCCTTGATTCAATAGCCAAGACCTGCTTCAGGGCAATTAAGTTAGTCAATAAAGTTAGTTAAAGCTCTTGCAGAGGGTCATCTGTAAATCTGATGTTACTACGATGAGGAACTAACCCTACTGCTAACTAAAATACTAAACCTTTTTCTGTTAACTAATTGTGAAATATGTGAAATATTAGTATTTCCTCCTCATGTTACCAACACTATTTCACATTGAGAAATAATCTTGTGATTGTGTTTTTGTAGCTCCATAAGTGTTCATGCCCTTTTGGACACTGCAGTCCAAATCCTGACAATATTTTTGGTGATAATTCTTATAAACTGACTTAGGAAACCAAGCCTGTGATGTTTTCAAGAGCATGTCAAATGGCTAAAAATAAAAGGACTAAGATGTAGCTGTGATAATTGTCATGCTTTTGGTGAAATAATTACTGGATGCTTTGATACCACTCAGAAATTGTTATCATAAAGGTTGAGGCTCACTGTAGAAGTGACACTACAGAAACCGGAGAAAATGCTTTAGCAGATCATTATGCAGATTATTTAGCAGATTGACAACCTGTGACTTAAAACAAAATTGTCAAATGGCATGCTAAGTGGAAGAAAAATGTCTAGAATCACATATAAATTTCCTTAGAAATAAGAATTAAATAATAATCTCTAAATATAAGGAGCACAGTTATTTTGAAATTAAGTTATTAATAACTGTTCTAAAAATAACTTGAAATTATTTACAAGTTACTTTTCATCTACAGGATACATTATAAGAAACCACTGAGTAACAGCAATAGTGATCAATCCCCAATAAGAAACTTGCTTCACTTTTAGCTTTCAGTGTATGAAAGACAAAGTGCAGAAAAGGCTTTAACACATGACATATACACAGAGAAACTTATGGTTTTGCTCCTGCATGTCAATTCAGGAAAAAAGAGTAAAAAAAAATGCAACTTACACTCATCTCGGAACCGTGGTTCTGCATTAGGCCCAACTCTACCAAATGTTTTTATGATCTCTGTATGCAGAGAATATTGATCTTGATATTGAGGGTCTTCCAGGAAAGAAGCCAACTGCATTTTCACTCTTTCCAGCAACTTAAAATTGAATATTATATAGTCAAATTGAGAGAAAGATACACACTAAACATGGTTTGCATCACTGGATTCAAATGACTTATATCAACATGACTTGAAGTTTGAAATTAAGTACTTCTTTAGTCTTTCAGCTCAGAAAAGAGCCTACATTTTTATGTTTGCCAACTCATTTTTTTTTTTTAAACACAAATATTCCCTGAAAAACTGTAGAAAAGATCCCACAATATTTAGGGAAAAAGATAAATGTATGATGATTTTGTGTCTAAGTTAGAATTCTTAAAACAGATCACAGTTTAAGTTACCCACTTATTCACCTTCTGAAAGCAATGAGTCATTAGTGACTTATATATTACTCATATTTCCCTAAAAGAAGTTTTTATTTTGGGATTAAGAACATGTTGAAATTCTGCCAAGACTGCAAGCTTTGCAGAATGATGTATTTTTTTATTTTGCTCCACCAGTGAAATATATATATATATACATGTAAGTGAAAAAACAGAAAACACTTTTTCCCACAACTAACAAAGTTGTTTAGTTTTTTGTTATAAAAAAATCTCTATGACAAAAATTTTACAAAACAGTCTCTCTCTCTCTATATATATATATAATTTTGTGTGTGTGTGTGAAATGTCTATGAGATGGAAAATCTTGTTTTCCATTTAAGTGGCTAATATGTCCACAAATAATTGATTTTCTAATGTACAGCATTTTTTCATTGTGCAAGGACATGTCCAATCTAATAATGGAGAATAACATTCTGATACTAATTTTGATAAGTGTCTAATAGTAAATGGTGCAGACAGAACTGAACAAATTTTAGATCACACAAGTTTCTGAATCAAAATAAACTTTGAGGGAGGAAGACTTTGGTAATCTCCTGAAGCAGGCATGACAGAAGGTTGTCCCAGTGAAGTGGACTGCAAAAAGATGACACCAGTCCATGACATGACTTGCAGTCTGATATGAATGATAGTTACAAGAACATAGGTACCTCTAGCCTCCATTCCCGAAACTGAGGAAAACTGTTCCCTTCAAATCTGCACGTACTGACAATTGGGAATTTATGCAGACTATCCAGAAGTCTACTGAATAAGAGAAGTCTGTGAAACTATACCTGCTGTGAAGGATTATTCAATACTGCAGTATCCAGACCAGCTCAGAATAGAACATCTGAGAGCTGGCTTATATTGAAGTTTCTAATTGAGAAGAAAGACCAGAGACAGCCTTAGCATGTGAAAAGATACTTTTGGTAGGCTATCATATTTTCAAATACTGAGATCCCCTCTGGCCCATAATTAACTAAGAAATATAATGAATGTATATCTTCCCTGCCCCCAACCACAGGGTATGTGTATGGTCATGTGCTTTCATCACCTCAGCAGTACATACAGATTAAATAAATTCCACTCATTTCCTACCTCTCTTTGAATAACTGTTTCCATAATCGTGCCAAAGGCTGGAATTGTAGCAATCCTGACAGAGCTGTTAGAATTAAAGAAGAAAAAAACTGACATTTTCTTTGAGACGAAAAACTGGTTATTATTAAAGTATATATCAAGGTAAGTACAAGGTAAATATACTGTATTAGTCGCTAGCAATGACAAATTAAATAAAAAAAAAGCAGACCAAGAAGAATGCTCAAAAAGACAGACAGGATAACTTAAGGTCGCAGTCTGTGGAACTCACAATTCAGGATCACTGGACAAGGTAACAAGGGCCGGAGCAACCCGCTTGTCAACTAACGCTTCACTCATGCCTCGAAGAGTCAGCTGTAAACCAGTCAACATGCAATAAAAAATGGTTTGGTAAACTGGAATGAGAACTGGGTTAGCTGTGACTGAGGATGGGCAGGCAGACTCACTGGCCTTTCTTGGTTTAGTCACCCACACGAGACATTAAAACGTTAAGCCTCTGGTTCATGCCACTATACTTACTGGTAACAACATATTAGTGAGGTTAGCAGAGCATCCCTTCTTGGCTTGGAAGAAATAGTCCATCAGCATGTTTTAAGTTTTGGAGATGTTTATTGAGGACCAATACTACTAATAACCCTTTCAATATATGGGCTTTGTCATCAGGTTTACTGTGAAGTTTGACTTAAAAAACAAAAACAAAAACCTGTACATCAATAGTAGTATAATAGTTTAAAATCAAGTAAGCATAATCCCATATTATTATTTTAAAGAGTTAAACCTACTCTTCAATGAATTTAAAAGCTGATGGTTATTTCTTTACAGGCACGTTTTGAAAGGGGTGCTGAAGGTAAAAGGCAAGGACGACACTTACATTTCAGGGTCACTGGAGAGAGTTATGAGAGCAGGAACAACCCTCTGAGCTACCAGACTTTCATTCACCCCCTTCACCAACAGCTGATTGGTCAGCGCAGGGGGTATTCACAGGTGATGCATGGAAAGAACAAACAACAATGCCACGGGGAGAATAAAGGAGCAACCAAGAGAAAGAGAAAACACAAAAGCAAAACCAAAATTAGAAGCTAAGCCAATATTACTACTGGAGTGCTTAAAAAAGGCAGAGAACACTTAGGAGGAAAGTAAAGCTTCCACAGCCTAGCGGTCCCCGAAAACAGCTCGTCACCAATTCAATGGCAATTTGTACTTTTGGTCACACAGTCTACACAATTTCCATATTCAGTTAAAAGGCAATTTAAAATAAAGATTTATTCTTTATTATTATTATGTTTTTAAAGAAGCCAAAAAGATGACATACTGGGTTCTATGGTTAAATTTTTAAAATAAATCTGGTATAATTTTGTTTTGACCAACAAGGTACAAACTGGACTGTCTTTAAACCAAACTCAAACGGCTAGCAGCCACCACTAAATTGCTTTTGACTGTTCTAAAGCACGTAAATTTAAAATTCACATACAAAAATTCCCAGTCTTTTACATCACAGAGCTTTCTTTCTTGAGGTACAGAGACCTAAGACAGCCTAGTGCAAAGCAGTTATTTCATGTGGGCCTCAGAGCTGGGTTCAGACTCTAGCTCTCTACTTGCTAGGCACGTGGGCCCCACATATATTACACCATCCCTTGAAACCCAGTTTTCTCATCTGAAAATAGTGACTATCATCTACCTCTAAGGATCACTGCACTACTAACTGCACATAATACACTTAAACACTGTGTCTGACAAAGGCTAGGCATTCAAGAAATGCAAGTGGAATTATTATGATGACTCAAAGGATGTAAGATTCGTGATACATTTAGAAAAAGAAATTATTAATTAAAAAATGTTTCTGGTTGGTCCAAGGAGTTAATGCTTACAAATTGCTCACTTCTCTAAAAGCTCAAATTAAAAAACAATATGATAACCACAATTAGACCTATTTCTATAATCTAATCATAAAACAATTTTTTAGCAGCCAACCCTAAATCGCAGAACAAGAGGACAATATTGAGCTATATGCATTTTGTTTTTATAGAAATCACAGCATTTTATGAGTTTCAACAGAGAAGGGTAACACCCTAATCCTATAATCTCAATTTCAGAATGTAAATACAAATTATTAATCTTAAATGCTAATTAATCTCTTCGCCTTGTAAGGGAACTAGTCCTCCAAGAAGATGACAGATGTTATGGGATTTTTCGTAACAAAAACCCAACAGGTACTTTTGAATCTGCTTCAGTATTCTGAAATAATTTTTATTTCAACAGAACCATGGATAATTTAGACAGGAATAAAATGACAAAAGAATTTCTGTTACTACTTTAAAAGCATTACGGATGTCAGGTAGAAAGAAATAGGGGGAAGAAATTCAAATACTGTTAAATAAAACTTTCTTCTCTGTACCATTTTATAAATAAAAGGGCATCCCTGGTGGCTCAGATAGTAAAGAATCTGCCTGCAATACAGGAGATGGGGGTTCAATCCCTGGGTCAGGAAGATCTCCTAGAGAAGGGAATGGCAACCCACTCCAGTACTCTTGCCTGGGAAATCCCATGGACAGAGGAGCCTGGCCGGCTACAGTCATGGGGTCACAAAGAGTTGGACTGTTAAATAAAACTCTCTTCTCTGTATCATTTTATAAACAAAATAGCTTAGATTTGAATCAGTAAAGTACATTTTCAAAGGTTTATATTGTGCCAGCCAAAAAGCCTTAAAATGGACTCATTCACTGGTCTTTAAAAGCCCATGCCTTCTTTGAGTTGTGGTCTTAATATCACTTGCTTTATTTCCTTATGACTGATGTAAGAAATCATTATATGAAGCTTCTTTTCTGCATCTTTTGGGAAATCCACTATGACACGCTAGAAGTCACACGAGAGTCTCTTTTATAAATCAACTTCAATACTATTTTGTTACATCAAGAATATACTTTCTCTTATTTAACAGTGACTGGATTTCCCCTTTTTGTCCTGCTATCTGAAAACTCAGAGCTAAATTTAGTGTTCAATTTCACTAAGTATCCAATATCAAGTTCCCGATATATCCATTTCTCACTTTCTTATCAATAGTTTCTGTTCTGACATTAAAAACTTAAAGAATTTTAGTGTCCCTTTTTTACATTTTTATTTTGAATTAAGTCATTTTTGGGTGGCAGGGGAAGCAAGCATAATTGTAAATTATAATGTATTAGTATCAAAAGAAATCTTATGAAATAATTAATCTTTTAATATAATTTTGTTTAAAATAAGGCTCATTGACAAAAATAATTTTAATTTTTCCTGATGACTTTTACTGGCATGCTCAGTAAAACTACTTTTATCATAAATAAATTTGAAAAAATACTGAAATAAGTCTCTCAAATTAGACTCAGAAATTCATAATCCACCTGAGAACACTGAAGACCGCTTAAGCGTAAGTATAGTTTCCAACCAGCACTGACAGCAGACACAGAAACCAAAGCTAGACAAAAGTCACACGTGAGAAATAAGGCAGAAAAATACAAGTGAAAAGGGAGAGACCTCATTGTCTTTGAACTGTTTTCATTTATATGGTATGCTTTATCAGTATCTATAGACACGTTAGAAATCAATGGTTTAAGACAAAGAAATCGCTCTTATGGTCTTAGAATACAATTCTATGAAAAAAGTATATTAAAGAAATATGATGCTCTTTTCTTTTGGGGGAAAGAGGAGGCTAAAGAAAGACTTTCTTCTTTCATGGTAATAACTTTTCAGCATACTGAATAATCAAAAACTATTTGTACCTAAAAGGAACTTATTATGCTAGGCCTCTAACTAAATTTTTAATTTGGCATTTGTCTTGACAAAGAACACGTGATTGGTTTTTTGGATCAAATCTGTACAACTGTGGAATAACATGGACAGAGGATTTTCAATCTTCTGATAAGAATGGAATTTTCTTTAGATACCACAAAAAACTTAGAAGTTTTAGATGGTATATGTTTTAAAATCTATCAGTGCTCTAACTCTTTGACTGCAATTTACCTTAAATTATCTAAAAATTCTGAAATGTAGGAAGAATTGAATTATCTCATTCTTCCTATGAAAATAAATACTTTAAGATATTTTAAGAATGAAACACATAATAGGGACAGTTTTAGCTTGAACAAATGCACTTTTCTTAAACTATTATATTATCTTGCGAAGTAATGGCATAGATTTAAAAAACAACCATCATAATAATAGTTAATATTTATTAAGTTCTTTTAATTATGTGTCAGACACTGTCTTCAGGCTTTTACAAGTATTAACTCATTTAATATTAACAAAACATCCTCTGAGATGGATACTTATTATTATCTTCACTTTACAGATGAGAAAACCAAGGCCAGAGAAGCTTGAGCCCGGCATGAAGTGGCAGAGACAGATGCTGAACCCAGGCAGGAAGTTTCTGTGATAAGACTCAAGAACAGTAAAACATTCAAAGCCAACTTTAGTGTTCAAATTCAAGTTCTAAAAACATACATACATAAACTAGGCTGACACAATTTCCTTTGTGAAGGATAAAAAAGATAGGCAGGTATTCCAATTTTCATACCAAACTTGGGTAGGTGGCAATTTAAGAAAATCTAGTTAAATTATACGAAAAGCATCTTCTCTCTTTTAAGTCTATGGGCAGTTAAAGTATAGAGATGTTGTTATTCCAGATATGATATGTGAGGAAATAACAAAGTAGGAATAATCAATTAATATTTCCATAATTGCAATGATTGAATCAAAGTATATTTTACTCATGAGTCCAACTATATTTTACAACTTTATAAATACCCTCTACTGTTTTAGTTTGTTTTAATAGCCATTTGCCTCAGTAAATAGAAAAGTATAGCCAAGAAGATTTACATAGGATGAAAATAAATAAGATTTAAAAGAAATTTGAGAAGACGAAATGATAATATAACAACATTCAAGGAACCAATAAGGCTAAAGAACAATCCGAAATATTCCAAAATTAAATTTCTGCCCCATCTCACAGTACACAACTAGATACTATTCAATGCAACAAAATATACATCAATGTAACATAGTACGAAAAGCTCCCTCCCTTCAAAAAAATATTCCCTCTCCCTCTTCCAAAGAAAATCATTATGATCTGAAAAAACAGAAGTATTTGTTTACATACCTCAAACATTCTAGCAGCAGTACACCTCACGAGTGCTGACGTGTGGACAACACCATACCATAAAACAGTTAACAGTAACTCATGGTAAGCTGGATTTGCACTGCAAGGAAAAAAATCAATGCTAAAAGTGAGAGCCACAGTGTCTTACTGGGGTACTGAAAAACTCTACCTTTCTGAGGAATACTAATGACAAAAATATTGGCAAAACATATAGATTTACTTTCTATGGTTTAATAGGCTATGTCTAAGATTCTTGAAAAAAGGGAAGTCACCTTATACAGCTACAGACTTTTAGCATATTCATGAACTAAGTTTCTCTAAGCATGTGCAAAGATGATAGACATTTCAACTCTTTGATAGTATAAGTTAAAATTATAAAAAAAAATAAAATTTACTACTTATGAGAACAAACACTGGACTAAGAGTCAGATGGGTAAGTTGTAACCTTCAGTTCAGTTCAGTTCAGTCGCTCAGTCGTGTCCGACTCTTTGCGACCCCATGAATCGCAGCATGCCAGGTCTCCCTGTCCATCACCAACTCCCGGAGTTCACTCAAACTCATGCCCATTGAGTTGGTGATGCCATCCAGCCATCTCATCTTCTGTCATCCCCTTCTCCTCCTGCTCCCAATCCCTCTCAGCATCAGGGGCTTTTCCAATGAGTCAGCTCTTCACACAAGGTGGCCAAAGTATTGGAGTTTCAGCTTCAGCATCCGTCCGTCCAATGAACACCCAGGACTCATCTCCTTTAGGATGGACTGGTTGGATCTCCTTGCAGTCCAAGGGACTCTTAAGAGTCTTCTCCAACACCACAGTTCAAAAGCATCAATTCTTCGGCACTCAGCTTTCCTTATAGTCCAACTCTCACATCCATACATGACCACTGGAAAAACCATAGCCTTGGCCAGATGGACCTTTGTTGGCAAAGTAATGTCTCTGCTTTTTAATATGCTGTCTAGGTTGGTCATAACTTTCCTTCCAAAGAGTAAGCGTCTTTTAATTTCATGACTGCAGTCACCATCTGCAGTGATTTTGGAGCCCCCCAAAATAAAGTCTGACACTGATTCCACTGTCTCCCCATCTATTTCCCATGAAGTGATGGGACCAGATGCCATGATCTTAGTTTTCTGAATGTTGAGCTTTAAGCCAACTTTTTCACTCTCCTCTTTCACTTTCATCAAGAGGCTTTTTAGTTCCTCTTCACTTTCTGCCATAAGGGTGGTGTCATCTGCATATCTGAGGTTATTGATATTTCACCCGGCAATCTTGATTCCAGCTTGTGCTTCATCCAGCCCAGCGTTTCTCAAGACGTACTCTGCATATACGTTAAATAAGCAGGGTGACAATATACAGCCTTGATGTACTCCTTTTCCTATTGGGAACCAGTCTGTTCCATGTCCAGTTCTAACTGTTGCTTCCTGACCTGCATACAGGTTTCTCAAGAGGCAGGTCAGGTGGTCTGGTATTCCCATCTCTTTCAGAATTTTCCTTAGTGAGTCTTAATTTCTGACATCTATAAACACTGGGGAAACAATACTGTCCTATATATGTCATATGGTTGGTACAGGATCAGTTAGGATAACCCAAATCAAGGATAACTCAAACCACCATATGGAAGGGTTAAGTTGGGTGTGAAGATAGTGTCATTAATAAATACATAAACCTGTTTTTAGTAAAGAATGAGAAGAAATTACTTAAGCAGCTAGATGACGTGATTATGATTTCAGTTCAGTTCAGTTTGGTCACTCAGTTGTGTCCAATTCTTTGTGACCCCATGGACTGCAGCATGCCAGGCCTCCCTGTTCATCACCAACTCCCAGAGCTTACTCAAACTCATGTCCATTTAAGTCGGTGATGCCATCCAACCATCTTATCCTCTGTCGTCCCCTTCTCCTCTTGCCTTCAATCTTTCCCAGCATCAGGGACTCTTCAAATGAGTCAGTTCTTCACATCAGGTGGCCAAAGTATTGGAGTTTCAGCTTCAGCATCAGTCCTTTCAATGAATATTCAGGACTGATTTCCTTTAGAATGGACTTCTTGGATCTCTTTGTAGTCCAAGGGACTCTCAAGAGTCTTCTCCAATACCACAGTTCAAAAGCATCAATTCTTTGGCGCTCAGCTTTCTTTATGGTCCAACTCTCAAATGCATACATGATTACTGGAAAAACCATAGCTTTGACTAGATGAACTTTTGTTGGCAAAGTAATATCTCTGCTTTTTAATATGTGGTCTAGGTTGGTAAAACTTTTCTTCCAAGGAGCAGGCATCATTTAATTTCATGGCTGCAGTCAACATCTGCAGTGATTTTGGAGCCCACCAAAATAGTCTGTCACTGTTTCCACTGTTTCCCCATCTATTTGCCATAAAGTCATGGGACCAGATGCCATGATCATAGTTTTCTGAATGCTGAGTTTTAAGTCAACTTTTCACTCTCCTCTTTCACTTTCATCAAGAGGCTCTTTAGTTCTTCGCTTTCTGCCATAAGGGTGGTGTCATCTGCATATCTGAGGTTACTGACATTTCTCCTGGAAATCTTGATTCCAGCTTGTGTTTCATCTAGCCCATTGTTTCCCATGCTGTACTCTGCATGGAAGTTAAATAAGCAGGGTGACAGTATTCAGCCTTGACCTACTCCTTTCCCGATTTGGAACCAGTCTGCTGTTCCATGTCCAGTTCTAACTGTTGCTTCTTGACCTGCGTACAGACTTCTCAGGAGGCAGGTCAGGTGGTCCGGTATCCCATCTCTTGAAGAATTTTCCACAGTTTGTTGTGATCCACACAGTCAAAGGCTTTGGCATAGTCAATAAAGCAGAAGTAGATATTTTTCTGGAACTTTCTTGCTTTTTCAGTGATCCAATGGATGTTGGCAATTTGATCTCTGGTTCCTCTGCCTTTTCTATATCCACCTTGAACATCTGGAAGTTCATGGTTCATGTACTGTTGAAGCCTGGCTTGGAGAATTTTGAGCATTACTTTGCTAGTGAGATGAGTGCAACTGTGTGGTAAACCAGGCAAATCAACTGGAATGGAAAAGGGAGCCCAGGGATCTGGCTTTTACTGGGATTCCTTTTCCAGTCTGGGGCCACTGAATTTTCTTTGAATTTGTACTTGATTTTATGCCTCCAGCTGCTTCAACGAAGACATATCTGTATCCTTCACCTCACTCTTTTATTATAATGTATTGATTACAACATATTAAAATATACAAAAAAAAGAACAAAAAATCTTAAGTAAAAAATCAAGAAGTTTGGTGTGCATACTAATCTTTATTTAGACTAAAAATATGCAGTCTATAATACCAATTTTAAAACTTTCTATAGCTTTCAAAAACTATAAGCTATTATTTTTACCCCAGTTCCACAAAAGAAGCTTTCAGGCTATCAAGAGGAGCATGAGATAATGAAAGCAAGGTCATTACATCTTCTAAGAATCCAATCAACAGCTTTCGGTCTTCTTCCTACAGAGTAAAAAGACTGATAGTGAATTTCCAAGCAATCAAGTAGAACTTAAAAACCATCATTTCGTATCTACAATTAGAAAATTTTATCAAATAAGGGGAAAATATCTTAATTTGGAAGCATTTTAATTAAAGATAAATATTAAGCATATGTACGATCACAATGGTATGAGGACAAACACTATTCTGATTCATAGATTTAGACCTGAGTTGTGCAATATGGTAGTCACTCACCGCATGTGGTAACTTATACTGGAACTAAAGAGAAGTAAAATCAAAGATTCAGTTCCTGAGCTGCACTAATTACAATTCAAGCTGTTTAACATCCATGTATGGTTACATCCCTGGACAAATCAGATACAGATTACTTGCATCGCTGCAGAAAGTTTGATGAGATAGTTCTGGTTTGAAACATGAGAAGGTATACTTTTTTATTAAAATTGATTTTAACAGTTTAACTTCCCATTAATTTTGGCTCTAAATACTTAAATATAAGCCACTAAAACAGTTATTCTCCTCAAAGTAGAAACTGATATCTGAGAAATTATTAGTGGTGAGAAGTTGCACACTTGCTGAAATATAGAACATTGTGTCCTTAACAAAAATAGTCACACCTTTGATTAAAAAATTACTTTTATTTTTACGCTTTCTTTGATAAACCAGTATTTTAATAATCAGAAAATATTTCTTTCTTTCTTTCTTTACACAGCACACTATTAAGAAATTTGTTAGAGAAAGCAAATCTGCTCAATAGAAAAGTTAAAAAAGATAATTGTATGTTAAATCAGCCAGAATCTGTAAGGGAAAGAATCTGACTTTCTATCAGGAAATAAATACATAATAAATTAGAGTCAAATATTTTGTCTTCAGGGCTGTATCATGTCAACAATAAGTGGCTTCTATACATGTGAGTATCAATGCTTCCTGGTGGCTCGGTGGTAAAGAATCCACTTGCCAATCAATGCAGGAGACGCAGGTTTGATCCCTCGGTCAGGAAGACCCCTGAAGGAAACAGCAACCCACTCCAGTATTCTTGCCTGAAAAATCCCATGGACAGAGGAGCCTGGCAGGCTATATAGTCCATGGGGTCACAAAGAGTTGGACATGACTGAGCGACTAAAAAGGCACATACATCACTAGATCCATGAGGAAGACGGGATTACCATCTAACTTTTCCTACATGGTCAGGTTAATTTAGTGAGGCAGAAATAAAGGACCGACAAAAGTAATGCTCAGCATGAATAAAGGATGGACACAGCAGTTTTATAATATGCTGGTCTGCTTCGTGAAGGACGGAAACACTGACAAGCCACCATCAGAGCTATGGTGGAACAGAGATCTCACTCATTTTTAGTTGCTTACTGTATCAGAGGATCCACAAAATTTGGAAAATAAACTGTAAATCTGAAAAAACTTAACTGTGAAGTAACAGCTATAAAATATACTGCTAAATGAGCATGAATTCTTTGATTTGAAAATTTACTACAACAAAATTTCTCAACTTTGAAATTTCAAAACAAGTAATACTGCTTACACACTTGATTCAAAATAGGCTTTGTTTATAAAAGCAACAAGGACAGTTAATTTACCTTAATAGAAAATTTTGTTTAGTAGGAAAAACACTGGCATGTGCTTCCTTAAGCACTGGCAACCTATGATAGCCACTCACTTCTTGTTCTGTAAATAGCAGCAAAGCTCTTATCTCTTTAGATATTTGGATTTCACAGTTACTAAAAAAAAAATCTATATTGATGTATTCAGTAAATCTATTCTGAGGGACTACTATGAGACAAACCTTGTATTTCATATTTTATCAAACCTTAAAATACGTATCTCATATTTATTATGCCTTAAAATACTATTTATGGTCAAAATCAACATACTTAGCATACTTACTGCCCAAGCTTAAAAATGAGAGAGGAAAATACTGACATCACCTTTGTTATTCTGCTGGAAGAGCTTGCAAAATTAAAGAGGAAAATGGTATTTGTGCTGTTGTGCCTGGTAATGTGCTAGGACTTAATCTCCACAACTTTAAGGACAACAATGGATTCAATCTGTTAAGGTTATATGACTTAAAATATTCTAAACAGAGATCCTGTGTGTATCTGTATTATGAGATAGTCTGAGAAACTAGGGTAGACAAGTTAAAAGAATACTGTACTACTTTAACTGAGTTGGAGCTTCTACTACAAGATATGATATTGGAGAACTACAGTTTCATATTATAAGATGGTTCAAATCTGTTTTGGAAGAAGAATGCAATAAATATGAACGGCTATACTTTGAATTCAAAAGGCAAAAAAGTTAGGAATTAGTGTAGAAAACGGGGGAAAAAAGATCTTCCTCTGATTTTCCCATTCTAATTCTTTTTTAAAACTTAATTTGGACTTATTTTATTGTTTTCCTATGATTACATTCAGATTAATTGGGGGGAGTGGTCAGAAATACTACATAGGAATTATTGTGTCATGATTTCTAAAAATGCTTTATCTTGAGTCCACATTTTCAACTCACAGGTAGGACTGCCCCACACTTAAAAACGACTGATGTGCCTTAATACACAACGTGTTAATTTAAAGCAATGCTATGTAGAGTGAGGTGGTCTGCTATACTGGTGACCACCAATGAACCACCTCCTGGGTCAAGCTCTCATTCAGTTTCCTCTTTTTTCAATCTGGATTGGACCTGTGACTTGCTTTAACCAACAGAATGCAGTAGTAGTGATGTGCTAATTCCAAAGCCTAGGCTGCAGCCTAGCAAATTCTGTTTCTTACAATTTGGGGAGCCCTAAGCTAGCACAGAATGAGTCTGGCTCTGCCGCTCCACAGGACGTGCAGACAGAGAGAGGCCCTGAGACCATGGGGACTGAAGCCCAGCCACCCTTCCAGGAGCCCCACCAACCAACCAGGTGAACGCAGCCACACAGCGACTACCAGCAAGAACAGCAGAAGAGATGCCCAGCTGAGTAAAGACCATGAGCAATAAAAGAGTTATAACAATCCTTCATGTTTCGGGATTACAAAATACTTTGCTAAAAATGATGAAACAGTATGTTACAGCATTTTGCAGTGTGCTTCAGCTAACACATGTGCTTTATTAATGAAAAAATTATCATGAAACACAAAGAAATTGCTACATAAGTACAATCTAACACTTTTAAACAAATATCAAGAAGCACACAATCTCTAATTTTATTTAACAGAGATAGTCCTCAAGAGACTATTATTAAAATATGCTTTCTACTATAAATTATTTAATAAGAAGAATAAATAAATTTGTTTCTCATTTATGGGTATTATTTTCACTTATAAACACACTAAAAGACATAACATTAGCTATCTTTCTAAACAGACAGTGCTTTTACATTTTCCAGCCAAAGAATTTTTTCCTTACCTGAATATAACACGTAAGGACTCCTGTTGCGTAAATGGGGACAGTAGCTTTAGTGAGGACCCCATTTCCTGCTGAGGAATCTAAAAATCACAAAAATAATTTTAAATATCTGAGTATGCTTTAAATGTAAAGCAAAATGTCATAATACAAATTATATTTTAAATTACAATTGGTTACAAAGCTTACAAATAAATGTTATCATTACTTTAAAAATACTTTGATCAAAACATACATATCCACTGGTGGTTGTGAAAATGCAACTTAATACTTTTCAGAGCCATTAGCATACACAATTTTGATAGATGGGAAAAACTTTAATGACCAAAATGAGATGCTATACTGTTATTTGCATAGTTATAAATCAGAGCTTTCTTCAACACTTTCCCAAGTGGCCGTATAAGCATGTTGTATGAATTTTCAGGCTTCTAATTTGCAGTATTCAGTAAAACATCAAGGTACTCAGCTGAAAGGAGACATCTAGATATATATTTAACCTGCTTCTAGACATCGAGACACTACCTAGTTTCTAGTATTAGCCTAGTTCCAGAGCTCTTCCTGCATCCTGTACAGGGGTTTTTCAGAAGCCAGACAGAACCCTGACTATTTTCATGGAGTAGGGAGGCTAAATACAGCTTGGGGAGAGGGGAAAGCTGAGTGTCCTGTGACGACTTTAAGACATCAGATTTTCCTTCTTATGCAGCACGTGTAGACGATTTTTTAAAAACAGGTCCAGAGATGATATGGCAGTTGCTATTTATAGCACCAACTGCTCTCACTTACTGATGTTAGGCATTATTTGAAGCACTTCACATTTGCTTTCATGTACTCAAACTTTTAAAAATTACGTTTTTCTATTCTTATATGGTTTTAAATTCTTTTCAGAAAATAGTACATACAGAATTCAGTTAAAAGCATGCATTTAACTATCTTGAAAGTATTTTCACCAGAAAAGAATCTATTTTCATATCAATTAGTATTTGAGGTTTTTTTATTCTCTTGGCAAGAGTAATTTTATCTTTTGGGGAGTACCGATGTTGGCTGAGTGTGACTATGGTAGCTGAGAGGTAAATCTGAGGCTACGAACATAAGCTTAAGTTGAATTCATACATATAGACTGTATATAATCACCTTGTAACTAATAATTCTAAAAGATATCATAAGAATGAATAATTAACTAAACAGATAATACCAATTTTTAATTTCAAGTAATTAAACCATTAGAAAGCTATTAAATATAAACTTTAGGAAGCATTTGTCAAAAAAAAAAACACCTCACTGACATTTTCAAACTTAAAAGGAATCATTTATTTACAAATCTCTAATTACCTCTGAGGACAGACAAAAATGGGAGTTTTCCAGATGACTCAAATCAAATCACTAAGGTAAGACTGAGATAAGAATTACCTACACATCCAAAACAGCCAAGTTACAATACAAATCACGGGGACTATACATTTTTGTTCTTAATATTTTTCACAATTCATTCCCAGAAATTAGAAAAATACACAGGGACATAAGATCTACACATAAAGGAGTTCTTGGTGCTATAACCAGACTTCTTAAGACAGTAATTGAAAACTATGAGCAGAGGGGCATAGTTGCCCATTAAAGCCTCTAGTTTCTTAAAAATCTCATGTTTCATTAAAAATATATATATGTATATCTTACATTCTATTCAGTTATACTTGTTCTAATTTTTAAAAGTTCTAAGTAACTAATTATGAATTACATGCTCTGTATTTTTTCCTTTTCAGTATTTCAATTGCACCACTTCAAACCTCCAAAGTTACAAGTAAGTACACAGTCTGAGAAGGTCAGGTTTAGGTCAATTTGATTACAGTGAAGGTAGATATTTACAATAAAACTGATGGAGATTAATCTTACTACTACTCCATGGAAACGATATTAGATGTAGCTGTGCTGTAAACCCAAGAACTCCATAGTATAAATTTTCCTTTTCAATTGTACTTGTTAGTTTATTTATACAATTTGCATATAATGCATAAAGTATTTTTCTGGAGTAAAGAGACTTAATTGTTTTTAAAAATTATAATGCACAAACTTACCAATATTTTCTTCAGATAGCCTTAAAATCTCCTGGAACTGAGGTTTTACCTAAGCAACCCAAAGAAAAGACCCAGAAAGTCTCAGGTTCAACAGACCAATCAATGGTTAAATAAAATGTTTCCTACCATTGCTACTACTACTTATTTTTAAAGATTCAAGTAGTCAAAAACACAACAGTTCTTAAAAGCCATAGGAAAAAAGAAGTGTCAAGTTTCTGAAAACAATATCTTTTTAGAGATAAAATATTTAAAAAATCAATTTAGGTCAGCAAGTTTTCTGAAGGACCTTTAGATTCCGTCACTAAATTAAAATAATTTCCAAGGTGACTTTAAGTGTTTGAAATTACTACCTCCCAAAACCAAAACTGATGATAGAAAGGGTACTTAGGCAGATATTATATGATTAAAACTGTTGAAAAAAAATGTTGTGTATAAAAGGAAGGAAAATGAAATTCCATTCATTTAGGATATTTAGTAAGTAAGATACTCATTATGTTATATCTGTTGGCTTAGTCTTTAACTTTCTAAAAATTTAATTTTAAACATGAAAGACAGAATTTAACAGTAAAGTTTTAAGTTAGAGGAAATGCTTGTTTCAATTTTTATTTTTAACATCACAGATTTCAGGCCTCTGAAGTCAACCACTGAAGTGTTAAAGTGAATTCCTAATCTCTTTTGTAAGAAAAAGTAAAATAAATAACATTTACTTCTTCTGGAGATGTCAAACAGTTTTTGCCAATAGTGATTCCCAGTAGAATAGAATCCAACTATACTTAATAATTAGATGTTAATGAATGACCTGGTTTCTCCTACAGTAACATTAAGCTCTGGTTTTTGCCCTCCTATCAATAGGTCAGGCATATTAATTTGCAAATTTCATTTAAACTGAGATGTAGACCACTGTGAAAAGATTAACCTACAGCATCAGATGTAAAGGATTAAATTTCATTTCACACATGAAAAGATTAAGTACAGACACATTAAACGATTTATTCAAGGACACACAGAGTCATAACCCATTTTCTGAATTTTGTCAGTCCACTATACCAAACTGTTATGCTCTAAATGTTTCAAAAACTACAGGCTTAGCCAAGAGATGCCACAAAATTTTTACCTTTTAAATGTCTTAACATATAGCAACTACATCTTTATAAGGTTTTGTTAATGCTCTAAAGAACTGGCTCAACAATCTGTTGTGAAGACAAATGGATTAACAGGATTAAAGAACAAAGTAGTACCTAAAGACTTTGCAATTTTAATATTTAAACAACAAAATAACCTGGTTAGGCAAATGTGACAGTGACTGAAATATGCAGCATTTATCTGAAGTGTCCATTCTATTCCAAGAGCTCTTGTCTTGTAGCAAGTATTCTACATAAGCTGCTTTGTTTCTATAATCACCTGAGTGAAAGTCAAAGTTGCTCAGTTGTGTCCGACTCTTTGTGACCCCATAGACTATATAGTCCATGGAATTCTCCAGGCCAGAATACTGGAGTGGGTAGCCTTTCCCTTCTCCAGGGGATCTTCCCAACCCAGGGATCGAACCCAGATCTGCTGCACTGCAGGTGGATTCTCTACCAGCTGAGCCACAAGGGAAGTCCAAGAATACTGGAGTGGGTAGCCTATCCCTTCTCCAGCAGATCTTCCCGACCCAGGAATCGAACTGGGGTCTCCTGCATTGCAGGTGGATTCTTTACCGACTGAGCTATCAGGGACGTCCACAATCACCTAAAGTTCTGACCAAAGCATATAGAGGAAATGGGGGCTTCCTGAATCTGTGGTAGATTCAGTACAAGAATCACATTCACGGAATTGTAGTGGAGTCCCCTAGCTGATCCTTTCTCTGCTGGAAAGCTCTGAGACATCCACAGTGAGCAGACCTTATATTTAAATGTGGATACAGACTAAATTTTGGCTAAATCATTTTCTGAAAGTCAATAAAGATAAGAATATTACAGACCAGAATTTTCTTTTATTACCATAGCTTTCTAAGATATTAAAAGATAATTAGAATAAAGGAAGGGCTCTGCTTTTACTTACTCTCCCATACCATTAATTAACACATTACGTTTTTATATGTCTTGCATATAAGAAAATATGAAATACAAGTTTTTACCTTAGTGTTTGTAAAAATTTTGCCAAATGTCCGGCAAAGGCGCCAGAAAAATCTGGAGAATTCATGGACACAGGCAGTTGAAGTAACATTAATCTTGCCAACTATTTCTATAAGCTGTGGCAACCTGAATAAGAAAGAAAGGAAAGTAGACAGGGGATACAAATAAATTACTGTTTCCTTGCCAATTTCTGAAACAATCCAAATCTAACAATCTCTTCTGCTTTTCACAGCCAGTAAAATTAGAAAACAAAGGAGTTGTTTGGGACCCTTTGAAAAAGTCTTAATTTTATATTCTGTAAACTTCTTAAATTTTAAGAGATTATCATGAAATATATGGAAACTTAATGGCAGAGTTCTAAGTGTGGTGTTAATAAGGCTTAAGTCAATGGAGGTGATACTTGGCTAAAAGCTTGGCTAACATGGCACCATGTATTTTAGCCTCAAAAATGAGAAGTCTGGATGTAGTTTACAATCCACCACCACTTTTAGATAATAAGGGAGCAGACAGGTCTTTCTGCAGTAATACAGACACACTGTTTTCACAGATAAGCAACTACATGTCTACAGGTATAAATCTTCTCTCCTGAAGACAGTTACCACAGATGACGCCAAGTTATGTTTTGTTATTTTTAAAAAATATTTTGCTATATTTTGTCCCTCAGTTCCCAGGCTGAATATCATGAGCTGTCTTCCATTCAAGTAGCTGAGATGCACCAAGCGAACGCGGAGGCGGTAACTTACAGCTGGTTGACCACCCACAGTAAGGTCTCCCAGCCGGCTGTGCCCTCGTGCTCCAGCTGGTGGTCGTAAAGCTGCAGCAGCAGTGCCAGCTGCTCCCGACTCCCAACGACCGTGGATACATCCTGAAGAGGCGACGCGGGCCGAGGGAACCTAGTCACTGTCAACGCGGAGACGCGGAGTCAGTCACGCAGAAAACGGCGGTTTGGACAGTTAGCTCTCTGATCAGAAGAAAGTAAGGTTCTGCCTCCTAATATCTATTTAGCATGTTCTAGACTTCAAATATGAAACTAAGATACATTAAATCACTTTTTGAAAAAAATGAAATGTAGTTGATCCCTGCACAGTCAGGGGTTAAACTGTCTAACTTATAGTCAGGCCTTTGTGTCAGAGATTCCTCCACACCCACAAACTCAACCAACCATGGACCAGGCAGTACTACAATATTAACTACGGAAAACTATCCATATATAAGTGGGTGTGTACACCTCAAACTCCTGTTGTTTAAGGCGCGACTGTAAATTTCTCTTGCACGTGAACAAATTTAACAAATCTCAAAAAATTAACATTTTATGAGACTAAATATCTAGTAAACGAATTCTGAAATGAAAGAGTTTGCCAGTGAAAAGCAAAACTTTATTTATTTTAATTTAAAATTTGCTCCAAAATAAGATCTCAGTTAAAATATGGATTTGAATTTGGTTTTTTAAAAAAAAAATAGTTATAAATCCACCAGACTGCTTATGTCAATAAATAATAACTATAATAAGATATTTCCTTCACGGAGTAAGAAACTAATAGGTTGACAGCAGGGAAAAATTGTTTAATACCAGAGAATAACCTAAAATACACTAAAGTTGAGCTGAACAGGGTTCTTAAGTATTTAATCTCCAATATTAAATACCTTATTTAGAAAGTTTTCCATAATTTGATAAACATTAAGTTAATATAAAGTGTTAAAAGCAGTGACCAGTAAGATAAAGCTATATGTAATAATAATTAAAAAATTATTATAAATACAAACTTTAAAAGTTTTTTGGGAAAACTGAAAAAATGACTTTTAAAATTGTGTAAATAAATATCAAATATACATTAGTATATTTTCAAATTTGAACATATCAATAAAATTTATGATCCTACAGATCACAATTAGATTCCAGGTCTTAGCTGGCTCTTAAGTGAAGAATGCTACCAACAGCTCCTTAACTGTTGAAGAGAAATTCCTAGTGGTCCAACAGCTCCTGCATAGAGGTTAACACTCTAAAAAGACGCAATGAAAGATGCAGCATTTTCTCAAAGCATATGAATGGCTTAATGATAATCATTAAACTTACGAAAACATGAAATAACTTTTAAAATGCTGAAAGACAAAATTAAGACGGTATTGTCTTCCTATGCTTCCTAAGGTATTTAACAATATCTTAAGTACAGATAAAGATTGCCCCTTGTTAGTTAAAAGTCTCTACTTGCTATCATAACACACAAACAAATAAATGAATTTAGGTAAAATGGTATCCCATACTCTCTGAGATTTCTGCATGAATCATCATTATCTCAACCTAGGAATCAAACAGATTTGGACAGTGAGGGATAGCTGTATCTCATATTTCTATATCATGTCGAAGCACATCTGATCATTTCAAATAGGATTATATCATAGTGGTCACAATCTGTGATACTACAATGGAATGCATATTATTCCTTCAGAAATATGACAAATTACTGAAAAACAGTGGAAGAGTTAAGAGTAAAATAGATAATGTTAAGATTTATTATAGGAAAAGTGAGGTCCAAAGATTTAAAGCGAGGTCCAACAGAAGCAAAACAAGAAATAAGCAATTACTTGGATAACTCAGGGGTTCCCTGGGGGCTCTCTGAATGGTAAATGCATCTGGATGGTAAAGAATCCGCCTGCAATGCAGGAGACTGGAGTTCGATTCCTGGGTTGAGAAGATTCCCTGGAGAAGAAATGGCTACACATTCCAGTATTCTTGCCTGAAGAATTCCATGGACAGAGGAATCTGGCGGGCTACAGTCCATGGGGTCGCAAAGAGTCAGACATAACTGATCAATTAATACACCATGGACAACTCAGTTGTAAAAGATAAGTAGTTGGAATGATAAGTTTGAGGTTTAGGAACCTCAAAGTATTATTCTATTTAAAAGGCTTTTTAAAAATTTAAGCATCTAACTTGTGAACATACAGAAAAGTCCTCAGAATGCCATTTCAATAGACTGGCAAAAAGCTAGCATTTTATTGTATAAAAATTACCAAAATTATCCAAATCCAGCAAAATAACAGCTGCTATGATTCTTTAATGTATTTCCTTCCCACCAAAATATCAGCTCTATGATGGCAGAGATTTTTGTCTGTTTTATTCGTGAGTGCATCTGAAGTGTTCAAAATAGTACCTTGCATAAATATTAGCTAGTGTTGTGGAATTTTCATTATTTAAGCGAAAAACAAATCTTCACTTGTAATAAATTGTATCCCACATTATATAGATGGGCATATAGACAGACATATAGACACAGCTATATAGACAGACCCTAAATATGGATATAATATTTCCTCATTTATAGTAAATGTATTATAACCTACATGTGAGTATAACAACATTAACATTTACAGCTAAAAGTCAGAAGGTCAAATTAAGTCAGTGAGAATTTAAGATTATTTTTGACATGATAAAGACATAATCACAAGGAAAGGTCACATAAACATCTGTTCAGAATGGTAAAGTAGTTTTGAAAATTTTCTGTCTAATCTCTAGCATGTGCTTGGCCATAGGTGACACTGAAGAATTATTTGCTAAGTAAATGAATGACAGCGAATGCTATGGGGTGAACTGTGTCTCCCTTAAAAATTTGTATGTTGAAATCCTAACCCCTAGGACCTCAGAATATGATCTTATCTGGAAATAGTACTGTTGCAGATATAATTAGATAAGATGAAGTCACACTGGAACAGTGTGGACTTTCGATGCAATATAATTGATCTCATAACAAGGGGAAGTTTGGGCACAGAGACACGCACGCGCACACACACACACAGAACGGAATGTGAAGATGAAGGCAGAGATTGGGGGGATGCATTTACAAGCCAGAGTACCAGAGATCGCCAGCAAGCCACCGGAAGCTAGGGGACAGGCAGGAAAGAGCCTCCCCTTCACAGCCTTCAGGAGGAGCCGACCCTGCCGACACCTGATCTTAGACCTCTCACCTCCAGAACGCCTGCAGAGCTGCACGACAACAAGCATCTGACGTTAAAGCACTATGTTTCTGTCACTTTGTTATGGTGGATGTAGCAGAACAGTGCAGCAAGATAGAAAGAAAAAGCAAATTAGAAAGTCCCTAGGCAGCCGAAGTGCCTTAGTGAGTGAAGGGGTGAACCTAAAGTGGCCAGCTGTGAGCACTTTGTCGTTTATCATTAAGTCTGAAATTTCATTCTCCTCAGTGATTATAATTAAAAAATATTAAACTAACTCTACCCTATCCATTCTCAATTTTCCAAGAAACTGGCATTCTTACAGTATATACCATTTTTATGCAATGCTTCACGCATTGTTGGATATACTGCTTCATATCCCAGAGATTACAGGTGGCCCAGTTTACTTTATATGGAAATTGTAACACTGGCTTTTATACTCCAGTTTATTAGAAGCCCAGAAGAGATGAATAATTTCACAAATCTGAAAACCTCATACATACTGATAGCTTGTCTATAGCCATTTATCCTGGGGCTGGGTGCTGTGGGGCTACCATGTGCCATGGATCAAAAGTCACTTACTGGTTAGCTGGACTCTGAGCTAAGAAAATAATGGCTTTTGCTATCAATTTCATTTATTCCTGAAAATAAATCATATTCTTTTTTCTGGGGGCGGGGGGGAACTGTGCTGCATATGCTTATATTCCTATCAAGGACACAGCAGGAAATAGCAATTATACTTTCTTTCCCCTACTGAAAATAACACAAAATAGCTGAGGAAGAAAAAAAATACAAAGAAAATGAAAATGAAAAGCTTCACAAACTGGCCCTGGTAACTATTAATTCAGCTCTGTTAATGAAAGAAAACACTTCTGACTTACCACACTGAAAAAAAAAAGGCTACAAAAAGGCTCTAGATTAAGAATGGAGAGGAAGAATAAATATTGTAAAATAACACCATGAGGCTTATCCATAAATGATGAAGCCAGGTAGCTCCCCTTAAGTATCATACAATCTCTGACCACGCGGTTCCACACATATAATACATTTTAGTAACTATGCTGTCATACAGTGACTTGTGGAGAGGAAATGGCAACCCACTCCAGTAATCTTGCCCAGGAAGTCCCATGGACGGAAGAGCCTGGTGGGCTACAGTCCTTGGGGTTGCAAAGAGTTGGACATGATTTAGCAACTAAAACAAAGTGACTTTTACAATTTTAATCAAAAACAATTCTGTGGGAAGCTAAGCTGTCAATGTTCTACATCGTCCTTCCATAATTTAAGTTCAATACCTTCTATCTGTGGCACGTCACCATGAAGCTTGGTTTTGCTGGAGAAGGGTGCGTTCTGTAGCACTAATGCAAAGAGAGATGGGATCAAGGACTGCAAGGCAGACAGATACATGTGGAGCTTATGTTCATCCAGCCCGTGCTCGCCTTCCTGAAACATAAGCAGGTGGAAGCTAATTTAGTCTCCTGAGAGTATGCATTTATGATGCATTTATGATGTTTCAGCGGCAAACAATAAAACATTGAACGACATGTATGTTAGCCTCAAAGTAAACCTAATGGAGATGACCAAGAATCTTTTCTCAATTGCTCTGAGTATGTGAAAATATGAAGAGCTAAAGCACTGTGGGGCTTCCCTGGTGGCTGAGAAGGTAAAGAATCTGCCTGCAGTGAAGGAGATCCTGGGTCGATCCCTGGATCAGGAAGACCCCCTGGAGGACGAAAAGGCAACCCACTCTAGTATTCTTGCCTGGAGAATTCAATGGACAAAGGAGCCTGGTGGGCTGCAGTTCATGGGGCTGGACTGGTTGGACACGGCTAATGTTTTAACTTTCCCAAGGCACTGTGGACGTGATAGAATCTTTGGTATGGAAAACTTCAGGGTGAACATCAGTCATTTCATTTGTATGGAACTTCTTTCACAGGTTTTTTCTTTTAAGAGGGTCTTAACTTTTGAAATTTGAGAAGTCAGGTTAAAGATATTAAAGTGATCAAAGGAATCATTTTAAATGCTCAACTGTTAAACCAGCAGTAGCACTTATTTTCTCTCTACTTCCAAACTCCTTTCATAGATTTGATGACAACTATATTTGCCAGTATTTAATGCACTTTAAAATAATTCGCAGTAAAACGCAGAAGAAATTTCAACAGGAAACAAAAGAAAGAGATAATAGAAACAACAACCGAAAAGAGTAAAACGATCACTATGGTACACAGAAACGAAGTATTAAAGTGAAAAATAGAATCACTAGCGGTAAAAGCATTTAATGCTGCTCAAATCCACTTGGGATCTCATTATATTATAAATAACAACTGTGTCAGAAATACCAGGTATATGAGGTTTTTTTACCATCAAGTTCTAAATTAGTTAATTTCTTTACGGAACATTACCTGTGCTGAATACCACAGCTATGTTTTGTAGCAATGTGGAACTAGCTGTGTTATGGAATGGAACAAAGAAAACCCAGTATGGATAATTCTCAGATAGAAGGGATGCAAATATTAAAAAAAAAAAATACTTGAGAAAAATTCCCTAGGTTTCATAAAAAGAAGTACTCCAGTCTGGCTGTCTATTTATAGTCTTCAACATGCATTTTGAAATTTATAGGAAAAAAAGTCCAATTTTTAAATTAAATAAATGCACATATATACATGTAAGACTATACACAGAGTAGTATATATATATATGTTAAAATACTTTATGTTAAGAGTCTTATAAAGATTCTTAAAATTTGGGGGTAGAAAGGGCAACAGAGTAGTTTCAGAGGCTGATACCTGATCCTGGTCCTGTCATTTGACAGTTGTGGTAAGTTAAACAGTTTCCACACCAAAAGACCAAAATATAATTCAAAGAGTTCTAAGAATGAAATAATAGATTTTATTTATAAAACATGGTACATAATGTGTATATAATACACACAAAGAAATGTTAGTTTTTCTCCTAGACGCTGAGACTTTTAGTACAAAAATTAGTTTCATTGTATCGACTTTTCTTCTGTTCTTAGGAATAATGGAAAATTCATTTTAAAGAAAAGAAAATTCATTTTAAAGAGTGAGGGCATGAACAAATGCAGTGAAATAAAGTTAAAACATTTTGACATTGTGTAAACAAGAAAGCTTTGAAGACTCATATTTTAAGTTATCTCTGAGTCCTGGGGACAGAAGCTGATACTTTAAAGTATTTAAGTATTCAGAAGAGGTTAGCAAGAGGCAACCTTGGGAACTGTGTCAGAGTAGGTGCCACAAAGGTGCTATTTTAGCTATCAAAGTCAGATCGTGCCCTTTCTCCTTAGCTTCATCAAGCAAAACTTCCTCAAATCTCTGCTCCAGACCAACAGAATCTTTAATGGGTAATTAATTAGAATGTTCAGCAAAGTGATACTTTCTATCTTTGCTTCCCCAACATTCTTTCAAGATGCCTTAAAACACACCTTTAAAATTTCTATTAACTGTATAAATAAAGGAAGCGTTTACCCTGAGAAGTTTTTCAATCTTGTTCAGCAATGTGGGTAGAAGGTGAGACTGTAAATTTCCAAGTTCTGTAGTCCAGGCAGCATAGGCTGGTAAAAATACTTGATGTGTAGCACTAACGACTCTTTCTGAGGGATCACCCAAGGCTGACAGCAACAGTTCAAAACCCTGCCAAAAGGAAACAGACACAACACAGATTTAAAACAAAACAGAAGCCTCAAAAACACAATAAAATGTAATAAACATACATTCCAATACATTTAGAAGACATTTGAAGCAAGAAAGAAAACATTCATAAGCCTGCCTTCCCCAATTTCTTTAAAGAAAAATGTCATGTATCCATTGAGGGGGAAACCAGAAAGAAAATGGCATGCTTGTTGCCAATTTCCTGCCACAAAGCTGTGGCAGATACTATAAATGAATCAAAGCATTTTCTCCTTGAAATTGCAGAATTGAAACCAGGCAGCCAACTTTAACTTGTTCAAGTTGACACATTTGCCATCCCTACTATAGATTATGGGGTATCTGAATCAGAGATTTGGGATATTACACCATTCGGAATTTTATAATGGAATAGATGGGATTTATTCTGAAAAGCATACCTGCTGATATTTGTCTGGGTCATCAATGTATCCCATAATGATACCAAGGCTTTTGATCACAGCTTCTCTTACCAAATCTGCCTTATCTTCCATTAACATTTGTTGCAACATTGAAAGAACCAAGGAGCTACGGATCTCTTTCTGAAATAAACAAGAACATGTTTTCGTATTTATTTATACTAGCAGCAGAAAATACTAGAAAAAAATGACAGATATCCATATATTCACAATCCAGATTAAATATATATTAACACGTTGCTATGTTTGCTTCAAGTCCTCATTTCTGAAACACAGAAGACATTATAGAAACAGCTGAAGTGCATGACTCTCTTCCACCCTCACCCTTCCCCTAATTCTCCTCTCTAAAGATAACATTTACCCTGAACTTGGTATTAATCATCTCCCAGCATATTTCTGTATTTTTACTACGTATGTGCCAATCCCTGAAACCTTCACAGTGTGCTTTTGGCAAATCAACAGTCACCACTCTGCCATAAACAGACTCTTCTGTGTAAAATGACTATTCCTTCTATCACTACCTATGGAACTCAGAAAAGCACTGATAGTCATAACAACAGGAGGGATTACAAAAAGCACTGTGGTAATCAAAACATTTGCCTGGGGTAGGAGTATGGAAACTAAAATCCTGGTGTTGCTATGTTTTTTGAAGAACTAAGGGAAAAAGAAAAAAACAGAATGATAAAATATGAGAGTAAACTTTAAAAGCACTTACAAAACTACATGGCTATTTTCAGATACTACTATTAAATATAATGTCAACTACTATTGTGTCTTAAGTTTCATACAACTTTTACCCCATGGATTCAGCCTAATTAATGTCTGAGGTTAGAATAAGTGTCATTGTTTTCATATTCTTGCCCTTCCTTCCCTTTTTTGTACCATTATTGTAACTTGATCAATTTATAAAATTCTATAAACCTCAACTTGTTCAGGTCACTTTTACATTTAACAGTTACAATAAAAGGAAATGACCATTTCTGTAAATCTCTAGTTAGTGTGATTTGGTATGCAGAGCAAGGTCTGAAAGACATTTTAAAATATCTAGTTTTTGTTTTGATTTTTAAAAACAAAATATATGTAATTATAGAACAGTTTGGTCACATTTAGGGTGGTGAATATACCTTTTGGTACAGCCTTGTTTATTTATCTTTTAGGTTAAATACTGCTTCCCAATGTCTCTTTAAAAGTGTATTAAAAGGGCTTTTTGGTTGATATCTAAATGGGTAAACCTCAGCTGGGTATTTGCTTTGCAGCGATCAAGGTCAACTGTGGCAGTTTCCATATGCTAAGGAAACCCACGGGACAAGTCAGGAGGCTTCACGCCATCTGAGCTATGACTACACTGAGGTTCTACTGCTACCAGTTACAGTGGGGCAACAAGGCAAGTGGAGAGCCACGCAGGAAACATTAAGCTCTTTTTTAATGCTGCTTAGCATTCTAGTACTAGGAGCAGTGTGGAACGGTTTCTTCCTTCTTTGAGAGCATGTGATGTTCAGCTCTCTCCTGGAACAATAAATAATAGGATGCTCAGACTCACTCATGGATATCTACCTACACAATTTATCACAATAAGATAATTTCCTCTGAAAACATAGGAAAACACTAAAAAAAAGTATATGCCCAGTTCCTGGTGGAAGCATGGGAAAATAAGAACTTTGATGCACTGCTAATAGGAGAACAATCTGTGATGTCTTGGCGATTTAACACTGTCAAAATAAAAAAATGCACATGTCAAGAGAAACAAGATACAGAGGTTTTAACAATATGTGAAAATGTAAAATGCATAGATTCCCACACAAGGGATAAACAGATCATTGTACCATGTGATTAATTCTGAGTAAGAAAAATTTTAAAGATGTAAAAATGTAAGCTTGCATATGCACGAATTTTTATTTTCTTAAGTATTCGTTAAAAACCATTAACCATAGATGTCTCTCTTTGGAGAGAATGACTAGGGCCAGGGAAGTCTTTGATTTTCATCTGTCTGAAAATTTATTTTCAGCAACAACATTTCTGGGAGTGGAGACTATGAATTATTCTTGAATTATTCTTTGTATTTTTCTGTATAAAAAGAAAAGATAAATTTTATTTTTTAAAAAGACAACTGTCTGACTCTTGGGTTTCTCAGTCTTCACTCACCCTCACACTAAAGAATGTGAGGGAACGTAAATGTGACATAAACAGCTCATGTACTGTTGCACAGTTCCAATGTTTGTACTCCTTTTAAAGGGCAGTCTTATGGAAATGACCCTTCAAGGCAGCGGTCAGCAAACTGGGCCAAAAAGTCTCTGCCGCAGCTCCGCAACTCTGCTGTTGCAGTACGGAAGCAAACACAGACAAGTCACAGGAAATGGGTGTGGCTGCACGCCAATAAAACTTTATTTATAAAAACAGGCTGTGGATTCCATTTGGTCTCCAGACTGTACTTTGCCAAGCTCTGCTTTAAATTACCATTGTTCAAAGGAAAATGACTCTTGATGTCACCTCTGGCTTCCATCCCCTGTAGGCCTGGACCCGTCAGGAGACACCTCAGGAGCACAGGGCCAGCGTGCTCAGTCTTCCTCCTGGCGGGAGGCCCTTGGTCATTTAGAAACCAACGAGCACCTCAAACAGCTTTTGTTTGGGTGGGGAATATCTCCTGACATTTATATCAGAAATTAAAAATGAGAAATTTCAAATCATTAACTCATTAAAAACAATCCACTTCTTAAAGGTTAACATGACTAATGAAATTACAACTTTAATGGAAATAACTATAATAAAAAAAACTAGTGAGAGGAATAGTGTTGCTTTATATTGTGTTGCAAATCTCAGTGACGTCTGACTTAAAAGAAGACAGGTAGGATCCTCTTATCTGCTCTGCCTTCAACTGTGTGTTGCTTGGGTGGGAGTGCATAAGAAAACCTGGCCTCACAGAAACACGAAACTGAGAAAGGGAGAAGTATCTTCATAGCCTCCTCTGATAAGAAAAGACGCTGTCAAGCTCTGAATGGTGAATACAAGTTTTCCAAAATTCTTGTTCTCATTAGAAGTTTTAATTTTATCATTAGCAATGAAAACTGTCTACTTGTTTTCCTTGAAGCAAGGCTCCATGTCACTTATCGTCATGAAAATGTCTGCCACATGCCAAGTTTGAATAATCACAGCTTGTTTTTCAGTGATCTATCAAGTAAAATTGGTGTTCCACGAGAAAAGCAGCCGGTTCAGGTCACAACTCAAACTATCTGAGTGCTTTCTTTCTGCAGTAGCCATCATAGTTAAGAATGCAGCAAAAGGGCTTAATATCAGTGTTTTCCAGCTGATTATACAGAATATTAAAAAAGAGGCATACTTAGGGTCAAAATTTAGTAGAATTAATAATTTCACTGATTCACCAAATTTATTTTTAAGTGAAGTTGACTTTCTGTGAGTGCCCTGTAGTGAAGAATATGATCATTATCTGTCTATCTGGGTGTCACTGCTTTGATCAGCACTAATGCACTGCCACTGTTGCCCATTACAAATTTTGGTTGCCCCAACACTGTAACTGTCAACACAGAGAAAAGGACAAAAAATGTTTTAATGTTATTATGAAAATAATTTTCATCTCATGGACCTCTTCAAAAGGATCAAGGAACTCCCCAGGGTCCTCCAACCAAACTTTAGAATTCCTGATGAGGTTTAATATATTTGTACTCATGTAAAATCAATGGCTAATGTTCCCCTCTGTCTGCAATGTCACATGGTATCAATGTGAGCTTTCTTTATTCAGCTCATCTTCTTCCTTTGTTAGGACAGAATGTGGATTAATACATATAATAAGACACCTGAAAAAAAGGATTCTCTATTGCTAAAAAAAGAAGGAAAAGGTTTTTTTTTTTTTTAAGAAAAATTACAATTCTTACAGGAAGGTAAGGTGCCAGCGCTCCACAAGATTCTGCCACAAGCAATCTTCTTTCTGGGTATTTGTGATTAATCTAGAGTAAAAAATAAATAAATCAAACATAAACAACATACCCTCCCTTCCTCCAAAACAGAATTATTTTTCACCACAAATCCTGTTAGGAATGCAATAAAGCTTCTTTCTTTCCACTTCTGAGGATATCTATACCTGGATCAGGATTAAGGGACTCAGAGAGAGCCTAAAAAATGAGATCACAGGGGTTATCTGTTGAAGAGAAAGAGGATAAAGCAAAGATGAAAATATGGCAAGGTGTCTAGAGACTGAGGGCTTGCCCAAGACAGCTTTCCTTAGGATGTCGGAAGCAGCCTTTTCTTTCCCTAGGAACATCACTATGTTTTCAAATTTGTGAAGTCCAGCTTTTAGATATTTACTGATATGGCCTACAATATGTACCAGGAATGATCCTTCATTCCTCTTTTTTCCTCAAGGATTAAGTTGCAAATCATCAATGATTTAACCAAAGCTCCTGACTGGTGTTATGACTGTTTTTAAAGTAAGCGATGTCAATTCATCCCTGCTTGCATATGCAAGACGATGGGGTTTTACTATTGTAATGACTATACTGAATCATAACAAAAAATAACAAAAACAAACAAAAAAAGACACATACTGGGGTTTCTTCCCATATGTCTTCTTCATAGAATATACATCTTTCTTTGACTGGAAAAGAAGTATATCTTTTCTCATATTCCCATATGAAAAGGTGACATAATTCATTAAAGTATTGGATGCCTAAAATTAAGAAAAGAAATTATGCAGCAATCTACTGGGCAACAAACTGGAGGCAGGCGGTTGACAGATCGCTCACGTCCATGTTTATTCGGGTTACAGAAGAAAGAGGTGGCGGGGGAGTTGTTGGTAACTGAGATCTCCGACTTAATCCAGAAACAGTAACCTCAAGACAAAATGGTTTGAGTATCATAATATGTTACACATAAACTCACACATTTCTTTAGTCTAGCAGGATGAGTCTCAAAATTAAATGTACACACAACAATCAACTGTATTCCTACATACTTTCAATGAACAACCAGAAAAATACAGAAAATTCTATTTACACAATAGTATTAAAAAGAATAAAATACTCAGGAATAAACTTTAAAAGTATGTAAATTATATTCTGAAGACTATAAAACATTACTGAAAGAAAATTTAAAAAACCTAAATAAACGGAGAAGTGAAGTGAAGTGAAAGTCGCTCAGTCATGTCCAACTCTTTGAGACCCCATGGACTATACAGTCCATGGAATTCTCCAGGCCAGAATACTGGAGTGGGTAGCCTTTCCCTTGTTCAGGGGGTCTTCCCAACCCAAGGATCATGCCCAGGTCTCCCGCATTGCAGGTGGATTCTTTACCAGTGGAGTAAAAAGCTCGGATTTTACTCTTCACAGTGATTCCAGGTGAAGAAATTCATGCATCATTGCCAAAATAAATGGAAAGACATCTTAAATTCATGGATTGAAAAGTTCACTGTTGGAATGGCAACATTCTCCAGACTGATCTACAGATTCAAGGCAATCCTTACAATTTCAGCTGGCTTCTTTGCAGAAATTGACATGTTGATCTTAAAATTTATACAGAAATTAAAGGGACTCAGAATAGCCAAGACAACCTTGAAAGACAAGAACCAATTTAAGGGGTTGGGGCTTCTTTTGTGGGTGATAAAACTGTTCTAAAATTGACTGTAGTGATGGCTGTGTATCTCTGTGACTACTAAAAACCACTGAATTGTAGACTTTAAATAGGTGAGTTGTATGTTATCTGAATTACAACCTCAATAAAGCTTTAAAAGAAGATGGAAAAACAATTAAAAAAAGAAATGTACATATATAGAACTGTAGAGAACTGTAAAATCAAAGTTGTGTATATTGTTTCCAACTTAACTTGATTTTCAGTGATTAGAGTCTTACCCTAAATTAGTGTGCATTACAAGGTACAGGTAACATAGGGACTGTCAGAGATAATATGAATATATATAATCTTCCCTTACAAATAATGTCTCTAGATTACTAAATTAGTAGATGACTATAAATTTTAAAGAAAAAAATGAATATCTGAAGAAAGTGGGAAGGGAATTCTCAAAGACCATATACTTTAGCAATATTCTGGAGAATAATATTTTTTCTTAAGAACAAGTGATGGAGCAGGTATAAATAAGGCCATGAAATCTGTCTTCATAAGAAAGAAATCCATCTTTTTAAGATGGAACAATGAGTTACTTAATGACCAAAATGTCAAGTGTACAAAGTCAAAGATCCTGAGTTCTAGAGACGACAGGAATATTCAATATAAAACCAAAAGTGTAGTTAGTAAACAGTGAGTTGAATTATAAAAACACAAATTTCTTACATCAAAGGTCTACACTTATTTTCTGTATATATCTGTAACATATACAAGCACACAGTATACACAGACACTGTGTCTAGGTTTACACTTATATTCTGTATATATCTGTAACATATACAAGCACACAGTATACACAGACACTGTGTCTAGGTCCACACTTATATTCTGTATATATCTGTAACATACAAGCACACAGTATACACAGACACTGTGTCTAGGTCCACACTTATATTCTGTATATATCTGTAACATATACAAGCACACAGTATACACAGACACTGTGTCTAGGTCCACACTTATACTCTGTATATATCTGTAACATATACAGGAACACAGTATACACAGACACTGTGTCTAGGTCCACACTTATACTCTTTATATATCTGTAACATATACAAGCACACAGTAACACAGACACTGTGTCTAGATCTACACTTATATTCTATATATATCTGTAACATATACAAGCACACAGTATACACAGACACTGTGTCTAGGTCCACACTTATATTCTGTATATATCTGTAACATATACAGGCACACACTATACACAGACACTGTGTCTAGGTCCACACTTATACTCTGTATATATCTGTAACATATACAAGCACACAGTATACACAGACACTGTGTCTAGGTCCACACTTATATTCTATATATATCTGTAACATATACAAGCACACAGTATACACAGACACTGTGTCTAGGTCCACACTTATACTCTGTATATATCTGTAACATATACAGGAACACAGTATACACAGACACTGTGTCTAGGTCCACACTTATACTCTTTATATATCTGTAACATATACAAGCACACAGTAACACAGACACTGTGTCTAGGTCTACACTTATATTCTATATATATCTGTAACATACACAAGCGCACAGTATACACAGACACTGTGTCTAGGTCCACACTTATACTCTGTGTATATCTGTAACATACACAAGCGCACAGTATACACAGACACTGAGTCTATTATTTACCCCTTTACTTATCCATACACAGAACCTCTTCCTTTCCCTGAACTCATTAGTTTTTTTATATTTGTTTGGTATTTTGTATCTCACTTGATTCAGAAAAAAGCAAAACATCCCAGACGTTTCTTAAGCACTGTTAAACCACCGGGCTGGGCAACAGAAATAGTAGCATAATTTATATCCCACATATTTTCTAATAGCATTTTTAAAAGATAACATGAGCATTTACAATAACCTAGAATACAACAGCTAGAGAAAACCCAATATAGCTATTTACCTGTTCCCAACACTGTGGTAAAAGTTCAGCTTCAACACGTGTGGGTCCAACGTGACGTGCAAACGCCACACAGCCTGTCAGTATCATTTGCCTGAAAGACAAAATGAAGGGATGTCGACTAGCATTTGCATTAGAAAGCACAGCCTGTCAGTATCATTTGCCTGAAAGACAGAATGAATGGATGCAGACTAGCATTTGTGTTAGAAAGCACAACCAGGACTCAAGGTTAAAGAGTCAGCTCTAATCACCATGGAGCACAACTAGTTTTGTAAGATCAAATTTGACTGTTGACTTTTCCCAAAGGATAGGCTGCCCCAAGGGAGTGAGTTTCTTAAGACTAGCCCTTCCAGCAACGGCAACACCATTTGAGAGATATTGTGAAGAGATTCTCTACCGCTGTAAAGCTGAATCTCCTAAATTAACTTCCCATATATATAATACATTCTGAGATTATCCTTAATGCTTCCACTTCTAATGAATTTCAGTTTCTAGTCACTAAATCAATCTATGATTACTTTCCCAGTATTCCTATAATTCAGTTTCCCATGTGGCACAGTGGTAAAGAATCCACCTGCCAATGCAGCAGACCCAAATGACATGGGTTCGATCCCTCGGTTGGGAACATCCCCTGAAGAGGAAATGGCAACCCAGTCCAATATTCTTGCCTGGAAAATTCCATGGACAGAGGAGCCTGGCAGGCTACAGTCCATGGGGTCGCAAACAGTCAGACACGACTGAGCAGATTTCTGTAATTAAAAATTATGATACCGTATTAGTAAAATGATACTTCAGTGAGAATTTTTGGTATTGAACCCAAGATAACTGTGGTAGGCAGCTTCTGACATGACTCCTAATGAGGTCTGTCTCCCGATATTCATGCCTATGTGTAATCCCATCTTGGTGAGTGTAGACTGGACCCAATGATTTGCTTCTAATGAACAGAATAATGGCCAAAGGGATGGGATGTCACTTATGAGATCAGGTTACAAAGGCCTGTGACATCCATCTCGTGAGACAGTCTTTTCTGCCTTCCCAGCTGGCATGCTCTGAAGATACTACCATGTTGAATGGTTTCATGTGGAGAGAAACTGAAGGCAACTTCTGGTTATAAGTCAGTGAAAGAGGAACCAAGGCCTGCAGTCCAAAGATCCATAAGAAACTGAATCCCGCCAATGACCAGCCACGTGAATGAGTTCAGACGCAAATCCTTCCCCCATGGACCTTGAGGTGACCACAGCCACAGAAAACACCTTGACCACAGCTTTATAAGAGACCCAGATGAACTGACTCACATAAATCGCAATACAAGTGTTACTTTAAACCACTTTCTTTTGGGGTAATTTGTTATAAAACAATATATACATAATTAATATGATAGTTTCATTTGATGATAGATTTATAATTCAAAATTTTGAAAAAGATTTTTCACTTTTCAGAATGAAGGTACATTTAAAATGACTCTGAAAGTCAGAATGGTAAGTTTTTTTTTCTTACTTCTGATTATCTACGACTTCAAAACCAGTAAAGCTTGATGGAAAAAAAAAGCATGTTTTCCATAGATGTTTCAAAGTAGCCAACTTTAAGGAAAACCAAAACAGAATGTTTAATTCATATCAACTATAAAAGCAATTACTCATTGCTGTTTCTTAAAATATGTCTATTTAACCAAAAATTGAAGAGTGACTTTACGTTTCTACTTAGTCTATCCAAGTCAGCTACAACTGTTCTCTCAGGCTGAGAACAATGACAGACAGTAAGTATATGGGCGGTAGGAAAATGTTGAGCCAATATGTCTTCATTGTATATGGCAGGTTCCTTTCACCATATCCTTGTAATTTTTATCTATATGATTTCCCTTTATACTTATGTCATTGTCTTCTCTGATGGCTTCTCAACTTTTCTTTTTCTATTTTCTCCTACTTTAGGAAGGCAAGTAAAGTGAATAAAAGAAAAATGGAAAAAGAAAATCCCAGGCTTTAAGATAGACATTTAGCTTCCTACCAAAAATTTCTTCATTTCTGATCATTTCTACCCCTACTAGTCTGTTAAAATAATGAGAAGTCATATACATAGGTTTCAGAAATATTTGATAATTATAATAAATGAACTGTTGAAATTTAGGCATTTTGAACAAATGTAAGAAGTATACACTTGTATAAGACCTTCATGAGAAATAACTTTAAATCGTGAGTCACCATCACTATATTAAACATGTACAAATTTGTTCAAAAACTGTTAAGCCCCTCAAAATAAACTTCTTAGTCAGCAGAATTAAGAGTCACAATTCTAAAAAGGTCAGTTTTGAAATATACTTGAAAACAGAAAAGATTAGATGGCTACAGATTATTAATAGCATTGGAAACAGACTCCTATGATAGTAAAAATACTATTTCTACTTGTGGGAAATCATAAATACTGTTCCTACTTGTAAAATTATTTGACTGGTATTTGACACAATGGGCTTCCCGTGTGGCTCAACTGGTAAAGAATCCTCCTGCAATGCAGCAGACCTGGGTTCGATCCTTGGGTTGGGAAGATCCCCTGGAGAAGAGAAAGGCTACCCATTCCAGTATTGTGGCCTGAAGAAATTCCATGGGCTATAGTTCCAATACTCTGGCCACCTGATGGAAAGAACTGACTCACTGGAAAAGACCCTGATGGTGGGAAAGATTGAAGGTGGGAGGAGAAGGGGACGACAGAGGATGAGATGGTTGGATGGCATCACCGACTCGATGGACATGGGTTTCGGTAAACTCTGGGAGTTGGTGATGGACAGGGAGGCCTGGCGTGCTGCAGTCCATGGGGTCGCAAACAGGAAGACACAACTTAGCGACAGAACTGACACAATAGGTGGAAATACGGTGTTAGTTACGGCTGCTAGCAAGGAATTATCAAAAACCCAATGTAGCTGAGCATAAAACTGGACAGTCACACAAGGAAGCTTGTGATTCAGTAAGTAAAGTAATAACTGATTATATGTCAAACTTATGCTAATTTAAAAATTTTGCTTTATTTTTTATTCACATCAAATATAGCTAACAGTTTAGCTTATTTAAATAAATAACTTTATTTCTGAAAAGTGGAAGATGAACTGCGAACATTTGTGTTTAAATCCTGATGTATCTTGACCTGAAGTCAGCCTGTACCTATCAGTACTTTTGGCCACCGGGTGGCAGCTGTTAGCTTTACATGAAGAGTCTGTAAAAACAGGCTATGTAAATTGAGATATTTTTGCCTTACATTCTAAAAATGGCAATGTAATAAGTAGTATTTAATTATTAACTAATTTTCCAAAATAGTAAATAGCATTTTCAAGGAGAAGATAAAATATTTAATTTTCCTATATAGCACCATCAAATTGTCCTCAGAAAATTTTCAGTTTGCAAAGGATGGAACCTGATTGAATTTCCCTTACTTCTATTCAGCTAGCATGTAGATTAATCTTGACTGGATCCTGAAAAAAACATGTCTCTCTGCTTGCTCAGGTATATTTTAATAAGAGTAGGAAAGAGACACATGTTCACAGAGTTTAAAAGTCTACATGACTTTTTATTCTCATAGTGGAGAGATTCCTTGTGTTTTAAATTTTGGGCTTGATTTGTCTTATGGTTCACTTTGTGATTTTCCAACATTCTCAGAAGAGGTAAAAACTGTAACAGTAAAACAAGAACTAAAATTATATCAAGTTACCTAATCTTAATGTACAATTCTATTGTTTTGTGAATGTATAAGCAAAAATTATCTGCTTATTAAGATAGAAAATTACAATGCGGCAACATTTCAGCAGCTCAGTCTTGTCCATCTTGTGCTTAGTCTGCTTACCCTCCACTAGGATATTCTGTTCACGTTCACAATTGCACAGCTTCTCCTAGTATTTAAAAGTCTACTTTCTAGGGAGACATCTATCATGATTGCCTGAGCAAAAAACCCATTCCCCTTTCTTGCAGATGTCTCTTGGGTATGTGTCTTGTCCTCCTGGCCCCACCACTCTCATGCCCCTCACCATTCCCAAGTACAACTCATTTCTCCACTCAGGCATCCTTGATTGTGGGCGTTTGAATCAGGACTAAGCAAAACACTATATCCCTCCAGCCATACAGAAACTGCTTTACAGACAGCTTGGTGATGCAGACATTCCTATGTTAAATATTTTATTTCTGGTAAAGCATAACTATTAAGATGCCATGCTGTATCTAGTTCATCTGTAGAGGGAAAAGAAAAATATTTAGGAGTTCTTGGAAATCAAATGTGAAAGGTAAAAGCAAAGACTTAATGGAATAATTAGCAACCCAAAGATAACTAACACAAAAGTGCAGAAGTTCAACGTAAGTAGTTGGAATGACAAGAAGGAAAACACTGTAGGGCACTGTGAACAAGGTCAGTGTTTCCTTTATTAAAAGAGACCTTAGAAAGAAAAGATGGCATTGAGATTAAAAAGGTAATCATGATGCCGAATTAATAAAATGAGCAAGTCAACATTATATTTATTTCCCAAAGAAGTAGTCATATTCACCTCTGCTCATCATCTGGCCTCTTGATCAAATTGAAAAGTATGTGGAGAAGCTGGTCTCTCTCCTTAGGCTCAGGATGCAGGCAGGCTGTACACAATATGAGGGGGATCAACTCCTAAAGAAACAGGAAGGTGGAAAAAGTCAAAGTAAAAATGCATTGCAGAATATTCTTTCCCCCCCCAAAGTATTCATACATGGAAGTTTTAAATGAAATAAACCTCAACATAGAGAGGAGCATATTTTTACTTTGTAAGGCTGATAATTCAAGAGAAAAACATAAACATAGTTATGGAGTGATTGTGCAGAAGGTGCATATCACAATGAAATAAAGTAACTTATGATTGAACTAACCTTGTTTTCTCATCCAATACTTCCCAAGGGTCTATTACCTTTTACACTAAGTAACATTTTATCGTACTATAAGCTGATATAGTAGTTTAAATTTTGAAAGTTCTTTTAAATAAAAATTTGCAGAAGTTAACTATATTTTAAAACCTAAAATGAAAAACAGAAAACAAAGATAACTCTTCATACTTCCATAAGCACAGTAGGATCAGAAATAATAATTTTATACCCTTAGCACCTAACCTAGTGCCTAATTAAAAAGACCATCTTCACAGGTGTTGAATGCTCTCCATAAAAGCATTTGCAGAAATATTCTATATTGAAATGAAAATTTTAAATATTTTGTTCCACTTTCAACATACAGAGGTAAATTTAGTATTTTCAAGGAAACAGACAAGAGTTTATTTCTCTTTTACAAAGTATTTGAAAATTAAAGTTTTTTTTCACATTTTAATTAAACTGAAGCAAAATTCTAAAATACATTTAAAAGATATCAATTTTTTTCACTTTTGAAGTAGATTTGAAAATCTAATGAAATAAAAGTTCAAAAGTGATAAAGTACTTTTGGAGAGAAATCCTTTAAGTCATTTTGCAGATATTTTAAAGAAATCCCTAAATCATTATGATATAATAAAACGGATAGAATGATTATTCCCATTTATTTTTCCCATCTACCTCCCTACCCACCAAAAAGTGCTAGCAGATTTAAAATAGGAATCAATCACTATGTACTAATGCATGACACTTTAAAGAAAAGTCTACATTATTCTGAAGATGCTCCCTTAGAAACAGATGATATGCTTTTAGAGAAGTTGAGATTGAAACTAAGGCATGACTAGAAGTCCTTTCCATTACTTCTAATGTCTTACATATATTATGTTAAATTTTAATTACTCCATATAAACCTAAATTCAAAGCAAAAAGATGTAGATAAGAAGAGGAAAAACAAATCTGAGAAGCAAAAACAAATTTAAAACACTTATTCTGCCATCTTTCTATTTAGATACCTCTGTAGGTTTTAGATTAGTGAATAACTGAAAAGTGGGGAAAATAATTTTGCACTGGGAATGGAACAGTATATGTACGGGTCCTTGTATTCTGATGTTTTCCAAAGATGCTTACTCTGAGGCTTGATGGGTGAGGACCATTAATACCAAGGATCCTTAGAGAACTCCACTGAGATTGCTAAGGGCCAGTGATACTAGTGAGAGGACTGGGATGACACATAAGCACATTCCACTGAGAGTACAAGTTTAAGGATGAAAAGGTAGTGATTCTAGAAGGTACTAACAAAAAAGAGAAAATATTTTAATGCCTGAAAAATCAAAAAGGCCCTAAATATTTAACTTGTACTTTTCCCTCATGGCCGATCTTTCTCTCCCATGGGTTTTCTTGCTTTCCCCTAACCCTTCTTCCTGCTTCCCAGTCATCTCCAAATATTCACTCTTAAACTATCTCACTCTACTCTCTTCCTATTGTATTACTCTTTAAAGAAACAAAGTCATGAAGTGTAGGTAAGATATCTGCTCTAACTGCAAGTACATGTATACACCCTCTGTTTAAAATACAGAATAATAGTTAGCTTCTTTATCTCAAAAACAGGTATACCAAAATAACTGTGTTACAGTTTACTTTTTGTGCCTTACATTTTCTTTTACTTTTTTCTTTTTTTTAAACCACGAGGCTTAGTGACTCTTAATCAAAGAGGAATTTTATGTTATATACTACTGTAATGAATCTTTTAACTGGAATGTGGCTACAGATGTGCCAAACCAAGAACGCTAAACTCGGAGTTCGAAGTGCTCCTATCTCAAAACTACTAAGTACCAAAGAACCCAGTGAAAACTGTGAACTTCTCTTGAGTTTTTGTTTCCTCAATTGAAACATACAGGAATTAAGCTGAGTACATAAATAAAAAATACATACATTATGTCATTTTCTTATCTATTGCTAATAAGATTGTTAATTTTTCTTTCTGAGATCAAAGCTGGCCTCAAAACCCTTCTCAACACAGCAGCCATTACCGGCCAATCCAAACGGACACACAGGAAAGGAAAAAAAAGTCAGTCCTTGTCTCCTTGAAGTCTAAAATTCTGTGAACTTAGGGCTTTAGAGAAATGTTCTTTCACTTTTCTCAATCACAGTTAGTAGTAATTTACACTGCCATCTGTTATTATTTCTTGCTGGCTAAAATAGCAAATGTGGGAAGTCAGCACCAATACACTTTGGTCGATACTCTACGCCAAGGAGAACTGGGGACATCCTGGCACCTTGACGGCTGTGGCAGTTATGAAGTGTGCCAGATGGCTTCCTCTTCCTGAGCATCGCTGAGCTGAGAAGAGGTCCGTCCAGAAGGTGATGGTAGGAAAAAGTGGAAGCTGTAGCCTGTTTGTGACAGAGCCATCAGGACTTTAATTGCTAAGTTATGACCAACTTCAAATATCCTAATTTCCTCTTCCTTTATCATTCATTTAATCACAACTTCTAGTTATACCACTCTTCAAATAATGAACTCTGTAAATATGTTATCCGCTGCGCTGCCTATCTTACTTCTTGTAAATTCACCGTTTTCAAGCCTCTGATGTACGAGTCTATCCACAAGACTCTATTTAGGATTTTCACACTACAGTTGACCCTTGAACAACATAGGTTTGAACTGTGCTGTGGGTCTACTTATATGAAGTGTGTGTGGTTAGTCACTCAGTCGTGTCTGACTCTTTGCAACCCCATAGACTATAGCCTGCCAGGCTCCCTTGTCCATGGGGATTCTCCAGGCAAGAATACTGGAGTGGGTTGCCATGCTCTCCTCCAAGAGATCTTCCCAACCCAGGGATCAAACCCAGGTCTCCTGCATTGCAGGTGGATTCTTTACTGTCTAAGCCGCCAGGAAAGCCCAAGAATACTGGAGTGCATAGCCCATCCCGTCTTCAGGGGATCTTCCAGACCCAGGAATTGAACCAGGGTCTCCTTCATTGCAGGCGGATTCTTTACCAGCTGAGCTACCAGGGAAGCCCACTTATATGCAGATTTTACCCCATAAACATGTACTACACGGATCTGTGGTTGGCTGAATGTAAACTTATACTTGGATACTGAACTGTGCTGCGGTCAGCACACATAATCTGTGCGCTGTTCAAGGAAGGGTCAGTGGTACGCATAAATGTACAGATTTGAATCAATATTCTCCCATTGGTATCATCATCTCCAACTGAAGAAATCTAGTGTTTAAAATAGTTTCCTTATAATTCTAAATAAAATATTTAAAAACTGCATCTAGATTTTCAAAAGACAATGTGACAGTGGTTTTAAAAATGTCTTTGAATAATAACCATGGCAAGATAATAAAGTTCTGATAAACATGATATCCAAAAGGAATCCATCCCTTGCCTACCCCACATAAAAACGTTACTGAGTCCATATTTCAGGCAGCAGAAATTTTAAATATTTTCAAACATGCTTTATCAGTTAACGTGTACTGAAGTGAAATATAAAACTGATCTCCTACTGATCATTAGAGAGGAAATCAGTGTAGTAATCCAATTACAGAAGGTATTCCAGCAGTTTCTTACCATGGACACTAGGAAAGATATTTCTAAGGCCTTTAGAATTCGTTAATCTAAAGACTTAGTAATCTGCACTTTACTCAAGTAAATGAGTTTCTGCCATTTTAACAACACTAGCTCTCTCCATATGAAGGACCTCCCACCCCTCCTATGAAATTTTGTATAGAATTAAACAGGAAAGGCTTCCAGTATTTTTCTTTCAGTTCTATAAGTAAAACAAAATAAATTCTAATGATAATAAAGAAATCATTTTTAAGGTAGTAAATGTCTTCAGAGATGATTACATTTGATTTAATGAGTACTTTTACTTGACTTTCTTAGTCTTTAAAGATTAGTATGTGTTCAGACTACAAAAACAGAAGAAAAATAGTACCTAAACAGGATCTAAAACAATGTGAGTGATCAGATGTTAACGAGAAAAGATATGAACTAGGAAATGAGATCAGGCACAATTTAGAATTTTAAACAGTATGGGAATGTTGATATGATAATGACTCTAAGTCTGAAAGGAATCTAAAATACAAAAGGAAATACTGCACTTAGATCAGATGCCAGTGAGGAAACGTTTGAGTACTTCAGGTCAGGGAGCAAAATTCTACAATTCTAGAAAGGTGATATCAGTCCAATTAATTATAGGTCACCACTTGTCTTCACTATTCCACTGAAATTATTTCGTATAACCCAAGCTTTGAAAAAATTTTAGATGGCTGTTCCTAAATTTTTTTCATCTAGTCTTTTGCCTAGGAATTAAGCAATAGTGAAGTACAATTTAAATTCAAATACTGCTAAGTATACACCCTTTGATTTGGATTTTCAGTTGAAATTTGTCATGACGTTGGTAGTACACATAAAGGAAAAGAACATTACAAAGACTTACACAAGGAAAAGACAAGATTACTCACCTCTGGAAAAGTTTTATACTTCAAGGGCTGCTAAAATACCTATTTTTAGAATTATTAATACCTATAACTCCCAGGTCTCAGCCTTTAGGAAGCCTAACTGAAATACTTAAGTGACTTTTAAACTCTGGTACTGCTAAACAGCATGTGATTTGCTCTGAAAATTACAAGATACACACAAACATAACATGGGTGAAGAAGGTGAACCAAGCTTACGCAACTTACTATTTACTTTACTGTACTTGTACTACTACATTACACTCATACAATTATAAATTATATTATTACTCTTGAGTTAAAAATTTACCATAGAGCAACCACCAATGGTAATGTAAAGGAGTAAAGTTTGGTTTCTTAGAAGATGAACAAGTCTTTAGAGGTACTAGCTAGTTATTAAGGCTTTTAGGGAACTGGTGCTCTCCTGTATCTTTTTTTTTCCTAGCTTTAATGATACACATCTTATACAACACACTCTAAAACAGCCAATGGGTCAAAGGAATCACTCAGGAAATTAAAATACTTTGAGATAAATGAAAAACAGCACATACCAAAACATGTGAGAGGCAGCGTAAGCAGAACACAGAGGGAAATTTACAGCCATTATCTCCTACACTGAAAAAACGCGACTCCAGTTCAACAACCGCGCCGCAGAGAGGAGACTAAGCAAAGGCCAGCAGGAAGAAGGAGACAGTGAAGGTTACAGCAGAGGCAAGTGAGATACAGGACCCCCAAGAACCAAAAACCAGAATCAGCATCAGAAGTTGGCTCTGTGAAAGGATCAATGCAACTGACAATCTTTTACCTCCACTGACTAAGATGCAAATAACTAGAATCAGAAATAAAGGAGAGGACATTAGTAACAAACTTAAAAAAATTAAAAGGATTATAAATGAATGGTCCACCAACAAGTTAGATAATAAATGAACTTATTCCTAGAATCACATAAATGACCAAAACTGACACAAGAAGAAACAGAAAATAAAAACAGACCTATAACAGGCAAATAGATTGAATCAATAATTAAAAAACCTCTAGGATCAGATGACTTTGCTTGTGAATTCTAAAACACATTTAAAGAATTATTAATACTGATCCTACTCAACTCTTTGAAAGAACAGAAAAGGAGGAACAATTCTTAACACATTCTGTGTGCAAATACTATAAAGAATTTCCTGTTCATAAAATACAAGAGTTAATGCTGTTTGAATGTCAATATTCCTCAAAGTGATCCACAGATTCAGTGCAATTCCTATCAAAATTCAAATGACTTTTATGGCAGAGACCAAAACTGAGCATCCCATTACGTGGAAACAAAAGGGGCCCTAAATGGCTAAATGATACTGAAAAAGAGAACAAATCTGGAAGACTCATACTTCCTAATTTGAAAACTTACTGTAAAGCTACAGTAATCAAAATAGAGTAGAACAGGCATAAAGATAAACATAAAGACCCATGGTACAGAACTGAAAGTATAGAAATGAATCCAAACATCTACATCAAACTGATTTTTGACAAAGGTGCCATGACCATTCAATAAAGAAACAATTGTGTCTTCAACAAATGGTGCTGGGACACTTGGGTAACTACATGAAAAGAATACAGTTCTGAACTCCTGCCTCACTCCATATATTAACAAAAAACAAAACAAAAACATGGATCGATCACCTAAGTATAAGAGCTAAAGGTATAGAACTACTAGAAGAAAACATAGGGGTAAATCTTTCTGACTTTAGCTGTGGCAATGGATTCTTAGATGGATACCAAAAACATAAGCAACAAAAGAAAAAAATAGAGAAATCAGATTTCACAGAAATGAAAAACATCTGTCCATTTAAGGACAACATCCAACTACAGGATGGAAGAAAATACTTGCAAATCATATATGAGGTCAGAGTTTAATATCCAGAATTGTAAGAACTCTTACAATTCAAAGACAAACAATCCACTTAAAAAATGGGCAAAGGATTTACTAAAATTTACTGCATGTGAGATGATAGCTCAGGGACAGGGGAAGAAAAGCTCTTATTGTACATCTTTTCATATTCAAAAGATGTTAAACCATGACTATACATTATTTAATCAAACCTCACACTCTGTTTTTAATGCTTTTAAATTATCTAGGCTATTGCTATGATCAATCATACAAATGGACATTGTAATTGTATTCACATACCAATAAAAAGGCTTATACTGATAAAAAAACACAAAAAACTTGAGAAATAAGAAAAAACAAAAATGTTAATCCTTAAATTATAAGACCTTTTAAAAAATATAAATTTATGGAACTAGGGTAAAATATTAAATACAAGTAATCCAATATCAAAGGAAAAAATCAAATAAAAGTTTTGTGCTTCTATGCCCTGGGATTAGTTTCAAAGAAAGGCAACATAAACCTCATTATTTACCAATTTAATTTTGAGGGAATACAACTCTGGTATATTAAAAATGGTAAATTTTCTGGTAAAACAAAATATGACACAAATGATTAAGTAAACAAAGATAAGTGATCAATTCTTCATGAAATTATAAGTATAAAAATATTTTTAAATAGAAAAAACTTAAATCAGCCAGAAAAGTAAACATCATACCACAAATAAAATATACATGTATATATAAATATATGCTTACATATATATTTATATATATAATATATCTGATTACTGATGATGCAAATTTATAAAAACTTCATGCAGTACAATCAGATTTTAGTGGTAGAGTTTTTTATGATTAAAAAAGGGAAAATAAAAATTAAAAAAAAGCTTAAACTGCATCTCATAACAATTAGGTTTCTATGCTATTTTAAAGATTATCTTAAGGAAACATAGTAAAAGGGATGCAAACATTAATGCATTGCACAGATTATGTTACAAGCTGAAAAAGGAAAAAAGCTCAAACACCATTCTGCCAGGCAGAACTGCAAAACAATCTGAAATTGGACACTGATCCTTCAAGACATAGAAAATTTTCATACTTCTTAATATCTTACAACTATTCTTAAATGTTAGGTAAAATAAAACCATAAGTAAGAAAACAGTCACGTTTATCATTTTTAAATTAAAAATACCTATAGGTATAAAAATTATTGAAGCTCTACATATACATCTTCTTGAGGATCAGTACAAATTTCGTGTGCTAAACAGATAATTAAGGATAAGCTCTTATATGGGTATTGCCAATGCACTGTGTACCTATCATACTGTAGGTCCCATGAATTATGATTAAAACCAGTGGTAAAGATTAAGAGGATAACAAAAGAAAACTTGTAGGACACATTTGATAATATTCTTAACCTATTTAAAAAATTTGTGAATTTCAAATTGATTTCATAAATTGAATAATTCAAATAAATAAACTTGTTTGTAAATAAATCATTCACTATTTAAATGAGATTACAAATAATTTTTCCTTAATCTTTTAATGGTGAAATATAACTCTAAAGAATACTTTCTATAGTATTTATGGCTTATAACATAGGCAATGTGTACCAAAATAAATCTGCTACTCTATTTTAGACATTTAAAACATCTGTCAATAACAGGTTAGCTACAAGAAAAACAAAAAGATAGTCTCAAAAGTTATTGCAGACAATATTATAGCTATTCTATTCTAAGACAAGTCTAACTACTGCCAAACATATAAACTAACATTAATAAGAGGTAACTACAAGTACATTTAAGAAAAGAGTTATATTATTAGTGCCTATTAATGTTCAATCCCACGACTGTCTATTTCTGTAGGCAAGTCACGCATATCATATCAAGAGAGAGATCAAATAAATTAGTTAACTGGTAATGTAGAGAACGGACAGTGTTCATGGCACATAAATGGACCTACAGTAATAGTTAGTGTTGCAGAAGCTAATGATGCTTTAAGCAAAATTGGAAAACATGAATACCATGCAGTTTTACTGAACTCACCTGACAGAGGTGTAAAACCATTCTCTAGGAGCAGAGATGCATGCACAAAAGTAAGAATATGATTGCAAGTAGTAGACTTTAACAAAATAAAAATATAACACTAAACTTCAAAATGACGAAAAATGGACAACATGATGATCTGGGGGATGACAGTGCTTCTCTGGGTCTCACCTCTCTCTTGGCCAACAGCACGTTAGGGACGATGTGCGGCAGGCAGCGCCCCAGCATCAGCATGACGCTCGTCTCACTGTCTGCAATCCGAGACACCTAGAAGACCGCAGGGTTAATCAAAGACGGCACTGGAGGTCTCCTGTGCGTGATGGGACTTCAAGGCTATGATTTGGACCCTGTCACTTCTGTTTCAAACACATATTCAAAAGGACAATTTATGATGAGGAGGAAAACAAAAACAACCACCACCTGAGATTCCAAACAGGACAAACATTTTTGTAGACGAGAAATGGATTTAAAACACTAGTAAGAAGCAAGGGAGCAGACAGGGAGGCTTACTAGACTTCAGTTCTGGGAACAAAGAGCAATAACACAGGACTGGGGCAGCTTCAGTGGTTTTTAATCTTTATTTTGGGGGGAAAGGTACCCATAGAGTCACGATCTTTGGCTAAGATGAAAGAGTAGTTTGCACAATGAAAATGCATGATAGGGGAAGTCCAGGGGGGCTGCCCCAGTCTTACAATGAGAACTGCCAGACTGCATCCAAACCACTCTCTAGCTCTTTCAGATTCTTAATGACACTGTGGGACAGAAGCCCAGGAAGAGGTGAAGTGGAATCAACCACAAGAAAGGTATTAATAGAAAGGGAGAAGTATCAAGAAAAGAGAAAAAAAAAACACCCTTTTAAGATAAGCCTGCAACAACCATTACAAAGGACTTGATGAAAAGAAATCCGAGATCCAATAAACTCTGCAATCAAAGACAATCAATCCTAGAGAAATTAAAAATGGAGTAATCTAAAAATAACATAAGTTACAAATAATATATACACCTGACTTGGTTTTCTAAATTACACCATAGAGAGGCATATAATAGTAGGTTGGTAGACATAAAAAATTAAAACTAGACTGTAAAGAGTCACTTTCATACAAAATAGAGCTTTAATCCAAAGATAAAAATAATCAACTACTTTCCTTAAAAGCTGAAAACTTTGGAATTATTTCTTAGAGTGTTTGTTAGTTTAAATAATAGATTTGTACTTGAAACAGAGTTGTATTACAATTATTTTTTAGGTAAAATGTTAAGAAGAAAAATGGAATGTTTTAAGAAAGTTGCAAGAATCTGGTATAACTTACCTCTGATCCTAAACGACTATCTGCTGACATTCGACAGAAAGAGAGTAGTGCTTGATGGAAAGCAGGAGACAACTTCCTAGAAGAAAACATTGAATGAAAATGGGACAACACCACATAGTTAAACTAGTGTTTAAGGAGAAAGGAAGTTGCAGGTTATAATTCCCATCATCGCATGAATCCTACCCCACAAATGTTTGAATTTCTCAGCCACAAAAGATTTAAGATCACTTCACTGGAGAATCATACAGGGAAAAAGGAATAGCAATAGCTGCTGGTCTTAAAAGAGCTCGATATTATGTGAATGAAGTCTTAAAAATGTTAATGGATTAAACCTGAAGTTGTATGGCAGGTGAATGACTATAGAAAGTGTTTGCAAAACCTGAAATGAGGATTTTTTTTTTCTTCCCTAATTCTCTATGGTCCCAGAAAGGTAAAGAGTGGCTGTGAAGGCTAACCTGGTATGTTACTGATAAGTTCTGCAGATCTATATCATGATAATGATAACCCTTAATGTTAGAAACCCACATAAAAGAATTAAAAATTAAAAATAAATGAAGGAGAGGCTCATTCAACATTCACATATGTTTTAAATGAAGGATTTTTTGTAATTGAAAATATTAGCCATTTATGTTTAACAAAGAAAGTTAAAACATTTATATTTGTAAAATAACACTGGTCTCTATGTCATAGTATTCATAATATTGTAACTATGATTTGTACTTCATGTGCTCAATCTATGAAGAAAAGGGGTAACATCTAAGGCTATATAACAGAGGTTATTTAGTATACACCACAAAGCGGGCCCCAGTAGCATCTGATTTTGGATTTGGTGTGCCAAAGCTGAAGTCTGTTTGCTCATTATGTCCCCCCCCCCTCCCCTATTCTCACAGCGGAGGGAGCTACAATGCATCTAACTGCCCAAGCCAGAAAGTCTTTATCCTTCCCTTAGTTTTAACCTCCTAATCCAACCAATTTTTACCTTCTAACTATCTTATAAATCTATCTACATCTTTCCAGTACAGGAAATTCCACCATTTCTTTCTTGGACTCTTCCAACAGATATCCCATGAGTCTCCATTCTTACTACCTTCTAATTACCACTATTCTAGAGGACTCTTTCTAAAACTTCAGTTCAGTTCAGTTCAGTCACTCAGTCGTATCCAACTCTTTGCAACCCTGTGGACTGCAGCGCATCAGGCCTCCCTGTCCATCACCAACTTCCAGAGTTTACTCAAACTCATGTCCATCGAGTCAGTAATGCCATCCAACCAGCTCATCCTCTGTCATCCCCTTCTCCTCCCACCTTCAATCTTTCCCAGCATCAGGGTCTTCTCCAATGAGTCAGTTCTTTGCATCAGGTGGCTAAAGTATTGGAGTTTCAGCTTCAACATCAGTCCTTCCAATGAACACTCAGGACTGATCAGATTTCCTTGCAGTCCAAGGGACTCTCAAGAGTCTTCTTCAACACCACAGTTCAAAAGCATCAATTTTTTGGTGCTCAGCTTTCTTTATAGTCCAACTCTCACATCCATACATGACTACTGGAAAAACCATAGCCTTGACTAGATGGACCTTTGTTGGCAAAGTAATGTCTCTGCTTTTCAATATGCTGTCTAGGTTAGTCATAACTTTCCTTCCAAGGAGTAAGCATCTTTTAATTTCATGGCTCCAGTCACCATCTGCAGTGATTTTGGAGCCCCCCAAAATAAATTCTGTCACTGATTCCACTGTTTCCTCATCTATTTGCCATGAAGTGATGGGACCAGATGCTATGATCTTAGTTTTCTGAATGTTGAGCTATAAGCCAACTTTTTCACTCTCCTCTTTTACTTTCATCAAGAGGTCCTTTAGTTCTTCTTCACTTTCTGCCATAAGGGTGGTGTCATCTGCATATCTGAGGTTATCGATATTTCTCCCAGCAATCTTGATTACAGCTTGTGCTTCCTCCAGCTCAGCGTTTGTCATGATATACTCTGCATGTAAGTTAAATAAGCAGGATAACAATATACAGCCTTGATGTACTCCTTTTCCAATTTGGAACCAGTCTGTTGTTCCCCGTCCAGTTCTAACTGTTGCTTCCCGACCTGCATACAGATTTCTCAAGAGGCAGGTCAGGTGGTCTGGTATTCCCATCTCTCAGAATTTCCCACAGTTTGTTGTGATCCACACAGTCAAAGGCTTTGCATAGTCAATAAAGCAGAAGATGTTTTTCCGGAACTCTCTTGCATTTTCCTTGATCCAGCGGATGTTGGCAATGTGATCTCTGGTTCCTCTGCCTTTTCTAAATTCAGCTTGAGCATCTGGAAGTTTACAGTTCATGTATTGTTGAAGCCTGACTTGGAGAATTTTGGACATTATGTTGCTAGTGTGTGAGATGAGTGCAATTGTGTGGTAGCTGGAACATTCTTTGGCATTGCCTTTCTTTGGGATTAGAATGAAAACTGACCTTTTCCAGTCCTGTGGCCCTGCTGAGTTTTCCAAATTTGCTGGCATATTGAATGCAGCACTTTCACAGCATCATCTTTTAGGATGTGAAATAGCTTACCTGGAATTTTGTCACCTCCACTAGCTTTGTTCATAGTGATGCTTCCTAAGGCCCACTTGACTTCACATTCCAGGATGTCTGGCTCTAGGTGAGTGATCACACCATCGTGATTATCTGGGTGGTGAAGATGTTTTTTCTACAGTTCTTCTGTGTATTCTTGCCACCTCTTCTTAATATCTTCTGCTTCTGTTAGGTCCCTACCATGTCTGTCCTTTATTGAGCCCATCTTTGCATGAAAATTTCACTTGGTATCTCTAATTTTCTTGAAGAGAGCTCTAGTCTTTCCCATTCTATTGTTTTCCTCTATTTCTTTGCAGTGATCACTGAGGAAGGCTTTTTTATCTCTCTTTGCTATTCTTTGGAACTCTGCATTCAAATCGGTGTATCTTTCCTTTTCTCCTTTGCCTTTCACATCTCTTCTTTTCATAGCTGTTTGTAAGGTCTTCTCAGATAACCATTTTGGCTTTTTGCATTTCTTTTTCTTGGGGATGGTCTTGCTCCCTGTCTCCTGTACAATGTCACGAACCTCCGTCCATAGTTCATCAGGTACTCTGTCTATCAGATCTAGTCCCTTAAACCTATTTGTCACTTCCACTGTAGAATCATAAGGGATTTGATTTAGGTCATACCTGAATGTGGTTTTCTTTACTTTCTTTTAAAACTTAGATACCATCATGTTCCAAGTCTCTAAAATGAGTTAACACAGCTTATATGACTTAGTCTCAGCTTAATTCTCCAACTTCCCCTCCTGTTTTCTTCTCATTTGCATGCTTTGCTTCAATCTTCATAAATGCTTCTTAGCTCCCCAAGTGCAGTGTTCTTCCTGCTCCTGTTAGTCCCTCTTAGGGGGCACACTTCCTCTTACCTCTTTGCCTGGTTCACTGCTACTTACTCATTAGGTATAAAGATAGAAAATACTTCTTCCCTGAAACCTTTCCTGCTCTGATGACTAGGTTAGGTACCTTGATTGTGTGTTCCCCAAGCAAGCTGAACTTCCCTTACATTACCACTTTTCACAATGTTATAATTGCCTGACAGTCTCTCTCATATGTAACGTTTGTAGCCGAAGGGGACCACGCGTTTGGTTACCGTCACTATACTCTTCATTTGGGCTTCCCGAGTGGCTCAGGTGGTAAAGAATCTGCCTGCAATGCAGGAGACCCAGCCTGGATTCCTGGGTTGGGAAGATCCCCCGAAGAAGGGAATGGCTACCCACTCCAGTATTCTTGCCTGGAGAATTCCAGGGACCTCGAGAAGATTGGCAGGCTATAGTGCATGGGGTCCCAAAGAGTCAGACATGACTGAGCAACTAACACTTTCACTCTTCTTTTAAACTTCATACTCTTCATTAACATTGCCTGACATATAGTTAAGAGCTAAAAAGGTTAGTTGGATAAATTTAACAATCATCTTTCTCCTGAGAGTGGCTTTGGACTATAAAGGAGAACATTAAGAACTACTACAAACGCCACTGCATTATTTTTATGACTATCTCTTAACCATATTAGATTAAATGCACTTTGAGGACTGGGCCATGTCTATTTCAATCCTATGACCCCCCTCATAAAACCTACACATACATACACACACAACCACACACAAAGTTGTGGCATATGAGTAAAAAAATTTGCTTTGGAAAAAAAAAATCAAATACTTCTCACTAATAATGAGAACCTTTAAGTCTAAAACAAATTAGTCATGCTTTCCTATTACATCCCAACACTTGCTCTAATACTCCTTCATTTAATAGGAGGAGGAAGTATGACTGGCTCAGAATGCATCACAAGGTATGTGTGAGGATTAACTAAGCTAGCATATGTAAAGCATTTAGAACTGTGCCTGATATATAAAAAGATCTCAATAAATATTCCTCTCTTAGAGAATATTCTTTTTTCACATTATATTGTAAATACTTTTTGTCTCCTCTACTAGAAAACATAATCATGATGGGCAAGGGACCCTGCTTTAGTCATCTTAGTTCAATCATTGCTATTCAATAAAAATTAAATGAGTTAAGATAAAATTAATGACACAACATTACTAATGGAAGCAGATATAGGAAAAAGGACTAAGATCAAGAACTAATCGCCTTTTTAGTAAAAGCAACTATTTAATATCAAAACTTCTACTGAATCTGATAATGACTGTAGAACACAGAAAAGGTAAAAAACACTGGGTAAAATACACTAGGTAAAACACAGCACACAGAACATACATATTATTTATGGGTTTCAGTACTTAGCTAAAATAGGACCTAGTTCATTTATGGTCCATTCCTCTTTAACACAATTCAACTTAGTAATTACTTGTGATTTTTTGCAGTGATATGGACTCTGCTATGTGTTAAGTTCATGTCAGACATAAAAATTCATGTATCTAATCTGCAAAATAAGAACTGAAACTCTTCTAGTTTGACAATGTACTGAATAGCTGAAAGATGCATTTCAAAACACAGGACACATACTAACCTATTGGGTTTATCAAAATGAACTGTGTTTTTACTTGATGGAGAAGAAGATGGTATTCCTTCTCTTTCTCTCCTGGGGAAAGAATGTGGGAAATTCTCTTTAGGAACAGTGGAATCAACTTCATCTGATTTTGAAAGATGGACATCCTTGTTTTCTCCCTTGTCCAAACTATTTATAACTGAATTCTTTCCACTGTCTTCAGAGTCTTTGTGGGGAGATTGATCCAAAGAAGGCTGAACAGAGTCACAAACTACAGGGCTGGCAAAGTGTTCATTTTTGAGGAAGTCCATTTCACTGTAAAAGAAAGATAAATTATTAGTGAAGAATTGTATTTTTTAAGACTTTGGCAATAGCATAAACCTCATACTGGATTTAATGCTTTAAAACTATAATATATTAATAGAAAGTGGTTTGGCAACTAATGAATCTTTTCTGTACCATATATATTGATGCTTCATATAGAAATGTAGCCACAAACTCTTACAAAACATAAAAATGGTTTTATAAACTATGCTTTGGATTATCACTTAGCCTTCTTCGTGTGTGAAATGTGGAAAATTCCATCTAACCCACATCAGGAGTATAAGAATTAAATGAAATAATGAATGGAAAATATGTATGACACTCGCATGAAGAAGCTACTTTATTACTACTGATACATCCTGAAGAAGGTAAAAAATATCTTACTCCTTGGTTCTAAGACATATATGATTTAATGATTATTACAGTGATTAACAACTCTTTTGGGGAAAAGAACATATTAAGTATATAAGCAATTATAAGATTTTTTTCCCCAGAAGTATTAGGATATGAAAAATTATAGCTTACAACTGAAATATTATCTTATATGCTTATATAATCTGTCAATTTTTTAAATAATTTTAAGAGGTTTTATAGAAATGATGATTAAGTACTAACCTTTCAAGTCTTCTGATTTGTTCCATCAAAGACCATTTCTCACTATTTAATAAACTAATTTTATCTTCTAATTTCTGTACTAGCAAGGAGTTCTAAAATCAAAATGGGAGAAAAACAGAAACTCAAGATCTCATAGTCTGCTTTGACATGGCTTAAACACTTTTTGTGGACTTGATTATTAATAGGTCTCACCTCTACAGTCTGAGGAGTTTGAAGGGTTGAAGGAAGGTTGCCTAAAACTGGTGTCAGAGCCTCTAATTCATCTTCTTCTACACCGCTGGCCACGTCCACAAGGTCTTTCCCAGTTACTTGATGATTTCCAAAATCTCGGTAGAGCTGCAGTAAATCTGGAGGTTTTGGAATGTTTAATCCTACATCATCCCATAGTTCAAAATCCTAAAAGATAAAAAACAATAGCATAAAAAAATCTATGTGGCAGTTTTATCTTGCATTTTTGAGATGTATCTTTTCTTTATTGCTAATATCTTGAAAACTCAACATAATTGTGTGATAATGTCAAAGTGTATGTGCCCGGTGAATAAACATCCTGGGAGTCAGGAAGTGTCTAGGATTAGAGTGTGAGATGCACCCCCACCTCATACTTGGAAAATAAGGGAAACAGGGTCCTCAGTGGAGAGACAAGTTTTTGTTACAGCAAAAAGGATATTCTGGACTTCCCTAGTGGCACAGTGGATGAGAGCCTGCCTGCCTGCCAATGCAGGGGACCTGGGCTGCGTCCCTGGTCCGGGAAGATTCCACCTGCCTTGGAACTACTGAGTGCAAGCTCTAGAACTCGAGGGCTATAACGACTGCGCCTGCAACCTGCGACTACTGAGACTCATGCACCTAGAGCCTGAGCTCTGCAACAAGAGAAACCAAGGCAGGAGAAGCCCAGGCGCCCCAGAGTGAAGGGTAACCCCAGCTCGCCACAACTAGAGAGAGCCCGAGTGCAGCAACAAAGACCCATCACAACCAAGGAATTAAAAAATAATAAGTTTCTAAAATTAAAAAAAAGTATATTCAGAGAGAAGCTGAAAATAAAGAATGTTTATTTACAATAAGAAAATTTCACATAGCACCACAGAAAGGAAAGATAGGAAGTAAAGGAAAGAATGGGCAAGAGGGAACCAAAAAACAGTAAGACAAGGATTATATGCAGATAAAAATATAAGAAAACTATCAGTAAGTGTGTACTGAGTGTTACTATACATGCAGATACAGAGATGAACAAGAGATTCATTTAGCCTCAAGAAGATTACAGGCTAGTCAAGGGAGATAAGAGATAATCTTAGGTAACAATAGAGCCATTAAGATAAAATCAGGCCACTAATATAAATGATCAAAAATAAAATCAGGTAAAAAGTCTTACATTTTAGGCAGGGGCTAAACATGAAAGGAGTGAGGACTCTAGGATAGAACTGCTTTAAGGTCAGTTGAAATGACCATTAAACATCACTTAGTGGTTAAAGAATAAGTAATGATGAGCACTTGCACTGCCCTTTATAAAACAGCTTTATTGGGATATATAATTAATAAATAACAAACTGCACAATTTAAATCCAACTCTTTGTGACCCCATGGACTGTGGCCTACCAGGCTCCTCCATCCATGGGATTCTCCAGTCAAGAACACTAGAGTGGGTTGCATTTCCTTCTCCAGGGGATCTTCCCGACCCAGGGATCAAACCTGGGTCCCCCACCTTATAGGCAGACGCTTTTACCGTCTGAGCCCCCGGGGAAGTCTTAAACCCACAAGCGAATCTAAAACGTGCAATCTGCTAGGTTCTGACACCTGAGTACACACCTGAAGAGATCAGTGCAGTCAGGAAGATGGACTTGGGGGCTTCCCTGGCGGCTCAGTGGCAAAGAATCCGCCTACCAGTGCAGGAGACACAGGTGCGATCCCTGACCTGGGAAGATCCCACATGTCCTGGAGCCACAGCTACTGAGCCTGTTTGATCTAGGGCCTGGGAGTTGCGACTATTGAGCCCATGTTCTGCAGCTACTGAAGCCCACATCCCTAGAGACCGTGTTTTGCAACTGCAGAGTAGCCCCCGCTGGCTACAACTAGCAAAAAGTCAGCACAGCAATGAAGACCCAGCACAGTCAAAAATAAATAAAGCAGAGGGAGAAAAAAAAAAAGATTAAACACCAAAGCTAGAAAAAAAAAGATGAACTGTTCACTCCCCAGTTTTACTGCCTGCTTGTAATACTTCCCCTTTTTCCTCACAGATGCCCTGTTCCTAGGCAAATACTGTTCTGTTTTCCGTCGCTGTTACAAGTTTACATTTCTCAGAAGTTTATATAAGTGGAAGCATACAGCAAATACTCTATTTGCCTGGTTTCTTTCATCCAGATGATTGATTTTCAGACTAATCTATGTTGTTGTATCTGTCAGAGGTTCATTTTTTTTTTATTGCTGAGTTAGCATTTCACTGTAACGATACATCAAAATTTTTTATTCAACTTCCTGCTTTTGGATACTTGGGCAGTCTCCTTAATGTCAGCTATTATAAATAAAGTTGGTGTGAACACTGTGTAGGAGTCTTGGTGTGAACATCTCCCTTCACTTCTCTTGGACTGTAATATCGAGGAATGGAATGATCAAGTCACATAGGCGGTGAAGGTTTTACTTTTTTTTATAGACTGCCAACAACTGCTCCAAAGCGACGGCGCCATTTTTGACTCCCAGGAGCAATGATGATACTTCTAGGTACTCCGCATCTGTGCCTAGACTCGGCACAGTCTCGGTTAAACCTTCCAGCAAGTGTGCTATGGCATTTCACTGTGACTTAATTTTTATCTACCTAATGCCTAAACATGGAGAACATTTTCTTTCATGCGCTTATTTGATATCCATATGTGTTCTTTATTGAAGCATCTATATAAATTTTTTGTCCATTTTTTAAAAATTTGGGTCTTTTTTCAAAAAAATTATTCATTTTAGAGTTCTTTAAATATTCTGCATAGAAATTCTTTATCAGATATGCTACTTGAAATATTTTAACTAATCTATGGCTCATCTTTTCATTTATTTAGAGTTTCCTAAGAGTAGAAGTTACTGACTTTGATGAGAACAAATATTTGATGAAGAATACCGTACTTTTGGTGTCATATATAAGAAATCTTGGCCTACCTTCCAGGGTTGCAATGAATTTTTCCATGTTTTCTTCTAAGAGCCTTATGGCTTTATAATTTACATTTAAATCCATGATCCATTTGAATTACTTTTTGTATATGGTGTGAGGTATGGTTCGAAGTTCATTTTTGGAGGTACATAGATATCAAAATGTTACAGTACAAATTGTAAAAAAGACAATACTTTCTGAATGGAATTTACTTTGTGCTTTGTTAGACACCACAAGATCATCTATGTGTAAGTTAATCTCTTGACTCTCCACTAAGTTCCAATGACCTGTCTGCATTTATGTCAATAAGATACTGCCTGAACTATAATACCTTAAAGTCAGCTAGTTGAAGTCCCCTAATTTTGTACTTCTTTATTAAAGTTGTTTTGGCTATACTATGTTATTTCCATTTCCACAGAAATTTTAGAATAAGCTAACCTCTACAAAAAAAGTTGGCGAGATTCTGATTAGAATTGTGTTAAAAGTACAAATCAATTTTACAGAAATTGACACTTTGACAACACTGAATCTTATCTATTAGCACAATATATCTCTTCTTTATGTCCTCTTTATTTTCTTTCAGCATGTATAATAGTTTTCAGTGCATAATCCTTCATCATATTTATCCCTAAGTATTTCCTGTTTTTTTCATACTTTTGTAAATGGTATCTTTAAAATTTGAATGTCTATTTGTTGCTAGCATACAGAAATACAATTCATTTTTGTTTACTGATCTTGTATCATACAACTTGTCTATCATCACTTATTATAGTGTCTTTTTTAATGCAGTCTATAGGATTTTCTATATATATAATCATGTTACCAGTGAAAGTTTTCTTTCTTCTTTTCCAAAATATATGCCTTTTACTTCTTTTTCTTGCCTTGTACTGGCTATATTCCTCAGTATGATGCTCAACAGTAGTGAGAGCAGATATTCCTGTTTTATTCCTTATCTTTCATCATTAAGTGTGATATTAGTGATAGTTTTTCTGTAAATGTCTTATGAATTTGAGGAAATTCCTCACAATTCCTAATTTCTTCAAAGCTTTTACGGGAAAGACACGTTTGATTGTGTCAAATGTTTTCTTTTGAGATGATCATATGATTTCTTTTCTCTTTTGAAAAGTTTCTTAAAATGGTGAATTACAATGATTGGTTTTTGGACTAATCAATCTTATGTTCCTCAGATAAACCATTTGGTCACTGTGTATTAGCATTTTTACACATTGTTGGATTTGATATAGTAAAATGTTACGTAGATTTTCTACATCCATGCTCATGAGGAAAATGAGCCTGTAATTTTCTTTGTTAGCCAGGTCTGTATCTGGTTTTGATATCAGAATTATGCTGGTCTCATAGAATGAGTTTTGAACAATACCCTTCTCTTCAATTTCTAGAAGAGTTTGTGGAGAAGTGGTATTACTTCTTCCTTAAATATCTGGTAAGTAGCTACAGTGATATAACCTTGTTCATTTACTTTACTTCTTCCTTAAAAGTCTAGTAGATATCTACAGATATCTAGACTAGATATATCTAGTCTATATCTACAGATATAACTTTGTTCATTCCAGATTCTAATAATTTGCTTCTTGTCTCTCTTTCTGAATAAGTCAGGCTAGAGGTTTATCAATTTCATTAACCTCAAAAACCCTGTTTTTTGTTGTTATTAATTTTTCTCTGTTGTTCTCTGTTGCCTATATCATTGATACATTCTCATTTTTAATATTTCCTTCCTTTTAACTTCTTTGGACTTCAGTTAGTTTTCTTTTTCTAGTTTCTTAAAACAGAAACCAATCTTCATCAATTTGAAATCTTCTTTCTTTTCTAGTCAGTATTTTGGTGTTGCAGAATTTTACTGTATGTATAACTTAAAAAAAAAAATTAAACAAGCTAGATAAAAGAGGAAATAAGTACATTATAAATTAGAAAGGAAACAAATTATTGTCAAAAAAAAAAAAGGAAACTGTACCTGATCATCATTTTCATCTGAAAACGTTATTGATGTCAGCTTGTAGTTATTCTTCAATAAAAATTCATTGACTAAGAAGTTTAGAGCTCTCTTTTCAAGAGGTTTGATTGGCTCCTAGAGACAGATAAAAGATGGATACACTACTGTAAGTCTTCCTCTTTCAATACTTGTCCTACCATTTCATATGGAAGATACTTTTAGATCTGACATTCACCCACCTGAATTTCAGGACTTGATTTGTAATTTTTTCGTTCCTGTAAAGGAACTTCATGTTCTGGTGGAAGAAAAGACAAATAATATTTTACGCTTTTACATTTGAAAATATCTCAGCTACTTCTACATTGTTAAAGTAGAAAAAGTCTCAAAAAAGTTGTATGTACACCACCTGCAGCCTTTGTCAGGTTGGCTCGGAGGGCCTGAATGGTCTCCTTGGCTTTCCGTAGTTCAAACTCCAGGACTGGACAGGGATTTGGAATAAACACACACAGGCATCCAACCAAGAAAAGGGAAACAAAAATAAAAAATAAAAAGCAAGGATGGGTATGAAAAAAAAATACAATTTGTATTGAAAACAGAAAGCATGCAATCTTTATGAAACTTGTGAACGCATGCAGCAGAGTTGATTTGCAAGCAAACTGGTGAATGTTTTCCATAGTTTTAGAATACAGGGGACTACTGATCAAATGTTCTAGCTGTCTGACAAGGAATAGCTCTATTTAAAAATAAAATCTATGGCATATTCTCATTTAGGCAAATAAAAGCCTTAGGTGTTATGCTTCACTCAGTCTAGGTTAAGAAATGTAATGAATGTTTTCAGGTGACATAATTTTAGGGGAAAACACAAAACTTAGATAAAGTCCTAGCAAATACAGTTAAAGAAAATCTTAGGATTAAAAAAAAAGTATCTAGAATAATGTTATAAATCAACATACAGAAACAGTGAATATATTCCTTCATTAAGATGTTGAAGAAGTATGTTTTAAGTATCTTACAAATGTGGGATGTCTATCAATTTTCCTACAAACAAGTATATGTCTTCTATAAACAAGCACAGATATGTTAAACAAGTATCTAAAAAAAGTTACAAGGGATTTATTTTAGGTTTCATTTAAAGCCAAAGAACAGACATAACGTTTGTTTTTTAAGTTACAATTAAAATCATTCTAAAGTGATTGTATACAATACTAAGAGTGTAGTTATCTAAGGACACTGAATAAAATTAAGTAGAATTTCAAAGTTTCTGACAACTCTTCAAATAGATGTTTGTTCACATTAAGAGGTACTAATGAAACTTAAAGATTTCTCCTGTTACTGCAGAGTCTAATACAATGAACATGAATACTGAGGAAACATTCTAATGAGCTTTTTGAAATGTTTCATCATGACCAAGATTTAACTATGTCTTTACTGGGAATTTTCTTTAAAATATACAAATATTGCTATGAAGAAAAAAGTATTGGGGGGAAAATGTCATTTCTGTGAAGAAAAGCTCTGAGAAAATTAAGTGATCTTTGTCACAACTGTATATTAAAAATATTATTTAAATAGTTCTGCATAAGGATGAGTAAATTTAAAACTTTAGAGATGCAACTTTTTCCTGATTGACTAATAAACAGAAAAAAGAAGATGGCAAATGAAATGCTATCAGAGACAACAAAGCTATAAAAATATATGGAAAAAATAGAATTCACTCAGTTTGCACATTTTCATTAAAAACTTAAGATGTAACTGAATCACATCTAGTACATGAAGGCCAATTATTTTGATGCACAGAATTTCACTACAGCAACATGGAAGCACAGCTAAAAATCAGATGACGTGTATATGACTATTTCTTTTTTTGGTCATCAGCAATGCTGATCTGCAAACATTTCTGTGCAACAAAGTAGAAACATTTTCCCTAAAAATTACACTGCTGGAAACTCTTAGAGTTTGTATTTAAAGTCAGACTGCACAGATTCGACATGTAAGGTAAGTACAGAATAGATTTATTTTTCTTCTATTTCAAAACTCTAGGTTTTGATTTAAAAGCACTTCACTATACCATAAGCAAAGGAAGTATACATATCATACTTTCAGTATCACTTACAATTTACTAAGACATATTACAGAACAATTGCAGATCAGAAATGCCCTGCACCAGAATGACAGAATATGAAAAAACAAAACAAACAAACAAAAAAACTGGTTAAAACACAAACTGTGGGGAGAAAAAAAAAAAACTCAATTCAACTGGTGAAAGTTTAGGTGACCAAGAGCAAAACAATGAAGGATCAAGGCACAGAAAGCCAGAAAAACCCAAGTCAGACGGCAAGAATTTATATTTTTATGCACATCTACACACAAATTGTCAATGCCATTAAAAGTCACCACTGCTTTTAAAGCTAGTGCTTATCAAAGTGGATTCACTCTGCTGCATGTTTCTCAATATAGAATACAGACTTTAAAAGACAAAGGCATATCTTTGAAGCTACAGCACATCTTTATAAAGGCACAGTATGATCAAATAATTGCAGTTATGTGAAAAAGTTTTACATGAAAGGTCTGAACAGATATATTTACACACATATGAATTTGTCACTTCTTTATTAAAAGATATTGGATTAAAACTCAAAACTTACTATTTTGTAAAGTGATACATTATACCAAGCAACCTCCAAATAGTTTTCCAATGTTATAATTCTTCATCAGAATGTTTGAAGAAGTGAACGTTTTTAAAAAACACTATAGGGACCAGCTACCAGCCTGCTCACTCCACTACCCCAACTCTCTACAAGCCCAACACTGCTGAATGCAATTTTAGTGGAACTAAAGTAATAACTGCAAAGATATAGGTATATTGTAATACTGCATGTTATAATCTTACCAAAAAATTAATGACTAAGTTAGGATCAGCCATTCTTATTAGCTGAAACAGTTATTTCTCAATCAAGGTTGGATAATACTGGTATTGTATCAGGGGTACTTGAGTGCTTAGTTAAAGATCAGGCACTCTTGACTTGAGATATATGCAAGTGTTTATCACTACTATCTTAAAATATTTGTTAGTCTTAGTTCTTTAAGCACAAAACTCAAAATAATGGTGCTCTATAAACATATGTTCATTTAGAGATCTTTTCCTCATTTAAGGAACACCTGCACAGACTTGAAAAAATAACCAGATTTTTAAATTTAGGAAAATGATGATGAAAATCATCACATACATATATATATATATATATATATATATATATATATATATATATATATATAAACACACACACACATACACACACATATATATATGTCAGATAAACAGTTTATTAATGGTTAGAGCAGACCCTACATTTGCATCATGGGGCAATGGACTCAAAACCTGTGTTATCTATAAACTCCTTCTGCCCAAGACTGATACAGGAACATCAAACAGATTTTTGTTCTTTCTCAGTAAGGTTTACATGTGATCCAATGCCAGATGACACAGTAATTATCTCTTCTCAATTACTGGTCTTTCAATTAGCTTCTAAGTTACTACCAATGGTTAGTAAAGAGACAAAAATCTCTTTGGAAATGGGAATTGTGATTAATTTAAATTTTCAGCCACATATCACACATGTGGTTCAACAAGAGCCCTAAGAGTCTAAAGGCTATTATCTTGGAATAACATGTATTTTCTTCCTTTTCCCAGTGAAGATGAAAGACTGCATCCATTCATTCATTTATACTGAAGTATCACTGACTTATAACATTGTGTTAGTTTCAGGTGTATAGCATAGTCATTCCATTTTTTTGTAGCCTATATTTCATTATAGGTTATTACAAGATATTGGATATAAACGTTTGTGCTATGAAGTAAACCCATGTTTAGTAGTTCATATCTGTTACTTCTGTACTCCTAACCTGTCCCATCCTCCCCTCTCTCTTCGCTTTGGGGAACCACAAGTTTGTTTCCTATGTCTGTAAGTCTATTTCTGTTTTATATATATATTCACTGGTATTATTTTTAGATTCCACATATAAGTGATATCACATATCACTTATTTGTCTTTCTCAAGACTGCATGTATTTATATATTAGCATTATAGAGTAAGCAAAAATTACTTTATTTCCCCAAACTTAGAGAAAGAGTATAATCTTCAGATTAAAAATATAAGGTCAAAACTAATCGCCAGTCCAGGTTCGATGCATGATACAGGGTGCTCGGGGCTGGTGCACTGGGATGACCCTGAGGGATGGGATGGGGAGCGGGGTTCAGGATGGGGAAAACATGTACACCCGTGGCGAATTCATGTCAATGTATGGAAACACCAATACAATATTGTAAAGTAATTAGCCTCCAATTAAAATAAATAAATTTATATCATAAAAAAAACCCTACCAACTATTTAAAATTTTCATTCTTAGTTATGTTTGGTTATAGCATTTTGCTTAGTTATAACATCTTGCTTTTACGTCCATGTTTCCCCTAATTAAAAATACCAACATACCTAATAACAAGAATAATGATGAACCTCTTAAATTTTTCAGGTTTTCAAATAAAAATTAGAGGAATGAAAATAATTATGTGGTCTATTTCTGGGTTGAAGTTATTTTCAAATACATAACCATTTGAACAATAATACAATATACAAAACAATATATTTGGTTAGTTTCAAAGAAACTAAAATACCATGTATTTAACACTTAATAAATAACATAAAACATATAATATCTAACATTTACTATATAATTAAATATAACATAATGCCACTTAACAAATGATATAATTAGGAGGATGAGTCCTAAAATTATTGAAATAATTCCCACTTGATTTGCTAATTTTCAGATATTACTGATGTGATTTGCTCTTTTGACACAGCTGTCAATTAACAATGCTTATGACTAAATCATGACTATCGAGGAGGCAGCTGCACTGAAGTCTTCCAATGACTTCCCCCTCAACTGATACTGCTGTTGTTCTCACGGCTCTCTCCTCTCTGAGCCTCTGCTGAACTAAAAATGATTGCATCATTTTTTCCCCTAAATCATGTAATACTGTTTGAGATTTTTAAACATCCAGTAGCTCTTTTCTCAAGCAATAAATGAAAAGCACATATTGGAATGTCATTTTACATAGGTCAAACTTAATCCTTCACTCTAAGAGGTGGCATATGGTACGATCAGTCGTGGGCTCTGTTGCTGGGCTATCTACATTTGAGTCTTAGCTCTGCCACTTAAGTCTTAAGACTCTCTGAGTGCCTCGGTTTCTTGGGGAGTGGAAGATGAGGATAATTCTATAACCTAATGAGTTAACATACATTTACAAAATGTTCAAAAAGGAGCGAGTGTTATATAAAAATTAGCGCTCAACAGCACTCATCTTTATTCATGATGACTATGACAGGCAGATATATGAGCAGGTTTTAACAACCCTGTTCCAGTAAAGGGAAAAAAAAATTCAACAGGGTTGATGAAGAGAGGAAGCCACAGTGTGGATGTTCCCTGACCCCACAGGGCCCTCACAGGCTCCACCTGTCCCATGTGGCATCTTTCCTGCCCAGGTGTTCCCCTCATTCCGGTGGGTTAAAATACGTAGCTGAGGGTGGCTTCCCATCTATCTCAGAATCAACACCCCGTGAAAGCTACAGTTCCTATAAAGACGTTCAGGAACTACTTCAATAACTGACAGTCACAGTCTGAAGCACTAGAAAGGTACCAGTCACTTGACATCTGAGGAGCCAGGGCTTCTACACTGGTAAATTCAGGGTGGACCCCCAGAAGAATCAACTAGCCTCATCTGATGTGGGCAGAATACAGAGGGTACAAATTGGTCTTCTGAAGTCCCTACAGACCCTATGGTGATGCCAAAAAGGCAAAACTGGAGGGAGGGTAGAGAGGGGAAGGAGACTGGAATGTGGAACCAAGCAACTAAAAAGGATGCTGGTCTTCTTTTTGGAATGGGCAAAGTCCAGGAAGCCCTGAGTGGACTGAGCATTAACAACCTCTATTTTCAGGATCATAGGAAAGTCAAATGAAGTTTCTAGAGAGATGCAGTGGCGGCCAGGGAGAATCCAAGGAATGAAGACAAAGCTGTGATCACCAATCAGCATGGAAGTATTTAAACCAATTTTTAACCATCAGCAGAGTTGCATTGGTATATACCACGCAAATATTACTTAGCCCTGGTCTGGGGATAAAAGGAATGAGGAAAGCAAGGTCCAAATAACTTTGCACTAAACCATGGCTGACTTACACCTGCTTTACACCAGTTTTATAATTATATGGCTGTAAACTGTTAGCTGTAAGCAGAACTCAGTAGTTGTAGGCACACATAACCAAAAACTCAGAGCGTCACCAGGAAGAGCAGCTGGGGGTTGCTGAACATTCAGCAATGCTCCCTGAAGCCAATAAATTGGTAATATAACTTTGTATGATAACTGTCTAATTATATTCATATACAGAACTGTAGAAGGAAGAGAATTTTTCAAGTCATTTCATTATTTCTGGAATGTCAAAAACATCCAAATCTGTCTTTAGAATCTTACCTGCCACTCTCTCATCTGTTTCCCTGTTACCATCATCTGAATATCTTGCAAAGTCTAAAGAATCAAGGGTACTGATGCTCCCAGCTCGATCTGTAATAAATGAAAAAAACAGAAAAAAAAAGAAAGAAGAATTAAACAGCTTTTTATTTAACTGCCAAAATAAGGGACTGGAAATCAATTACCTATGATTTTTTTTTCCAGTTAATAAACTATGATTCTAAGGTATAGGAATTCTATTAAAACTATAAGGTAAAAATGCTCATACTAATTAAACTACTTTGAAGTAACTTGAACTTCCCTGCCCAGATCTCTAACTCCTGAACAAGACACACACAGGGTATAATGCAACCAGCCTAGCTAAGGACAACAGAACTGCAAACAATTTGGACTTTATTCCAAGTCCAATGGAAAAACAACAGAAACACACGCATTTTTAGAAACTGGCTGCTGTAAGGAAAGTGGTTTGCAGAGAGACCAGCTCAGAGGCTATTATGTAAATCAACTATACTCCATTAAAAAATAAAAATTAAAAAAGAGAGGCTATTAGAGTCATGTAAGGGCTTCCCCAGTGGCATTAGTGGTAAAAACAAAACAAAACAAAAAACAAACCTGGCTGTCAATGCAAGAGACATTAAGAGACTTGGGTTTGACCCCTGGGTCAGGAATATCCCCTGAGGAGGGCATGGCAACCCACTCCAGTATTTTGCCTGGAGAATCCCACAGACAGAGGAACCTGTGGGCTACAGTCCATAGGGTCGCAAAGAGTTGGACACAACTGAACTGACTTAGCACAGCACACAGCACAGAGGTGTGTAGGTGAGAGATGATCAGATCTGGCCTAGAATAGAGGTACTAGAAATGTGAGAAGTGGTCAGATTTGGGTTATTTTTTGGTGTAAAACTAATATGTCCCAGTAGTGAAATGAATGTGGGTTTAAAAGTAAAAGAAAACAAGGTGATTCTTGAAGACTCCATTTATCGAATTTGTAATATGAGATGCAAAAGATGAATGCAGAGGCTTTAGGAGGTCTGTGTTTTAAGTGCATGGGGGTGGTATGGAGTGTTCTTAGCTTTAGGCAAATTTTTAAGTGTCTCTAAACAGAAAAACACACTGTAAAAATTCTCACTTGAAGGAAGAAATCAAAGCTGACACTTATTAAGGGAGATGTATCTAGCTAATGCAAAGAAGGGACAATAGATCAACTCTTTATTAAATCATGCTACCTACAGAGTACTTACTATTTATATATTGCTCTAAGGCATAGATGATCTGTTTAGAAAGCACTATCTGGGCAAATAAATGCAGATTACAGAAATATATATTTGAAATCCACCTATGGCTCCCCTACCTCCTTTTAAAACAATTAGTATATGCCAATAACTGAAATGGTTGACTTTTCAAATAGAGTTATGCTATTATCAATGTACTTTTTATTTTTAAATTCCTATTAAGGTGAACTAAGTGAAATTCTATATATAGTACTCTTCTGAGAACACACTGTTTGTATTCAGAGAAGCGTTTAATTTCTCTGCACTTTAATTATATCTGATAAATAACAACTTACTATTAACTTATGTTGTAAGATAGTATAAACAAATAATAGGAAATCAAGTACACCGTTCATTAGAACGTAATTTATTTAAGCAAAAACCAAGAAATATCAAATAACAATATTTACTATAAAAATCTCAAAAGTTCATATTAAAATGGGTTGAAATTAGGAATATTACTCAGCAATTAAAAAAACTACTGATATATGCCACATGACTGAATTTCAACACTTTATGATGAATGAAAGAATCTTTATATAGAATACAGTGTAATTTCATTTACATGAAGTTTTAGAATAGACAGTAGTAATTTATGGAAGAAAAAATCATTATAGTGGTTCTTGGAGGCGGGGGTTGGAAGGAGTAGGGGTTGACTGACTGGGAAGAGGTATGAGGGAACTTTCTGGGGTGACACTAATTGACAGGAGATTGGGTCATCACAAGTGTATTCATTTGTTAAAATACATCCAATAGTACACTTGAGACGTATATTTTACTGTCTTTAAATTTGCCTCAAAAGAAAAAAACGTGAATTCTAAACATTGAGCCCAAGTCAGTGATATGCATGCTGAAATATTTCGAGGGAAGTATACCGGTACTGAAAAGCTTCTCTGGTAGCTCAGTCAGTAAAGAATCTGCCTGCGGTACAGGAAACCTGGGTTCGATTCCGAGGTGGGGAAGATCCACTGAAGAAGGAAATGGTAATCCACTCCAGTATTCTTGCCTGGAGAATCCTATGGACAGAGGAGTCTGGCAGGTGAAAGCCCATGTGGTTCCAAGAGTTGGGTACGACTCAGCAATTAAGGACTTCCAGGCGGCGCTAGTGGTAAAAAAAACCTGCCTACCAATGCAGGAGATATAAGAGATGCAGGTTCAAATCCTGGGTCGGGAATATCCCCTGGAGGAGGAAATGGCAACCCACTCCAGTATTCTTGTCTGGAGAATTCCATGGACAGAGGAGCCTGACCCTACAGTCCATAGGGTCACACAGAGTCGGACATGACTGAAGAGACTTAGCACAAACAAACAGCAACTAAACCACCACCAACATTGATATCTGCAACTTCATTTCAAATGCACAAAAAAATAAGATGAACTTTCAGATGGGTTGAGGATCAGAGAGTTGTATAAATCTGAGATAAAGCAATCATAGTAAAAATTTAATTGCATAATCAAGGTGGTAGATAAAGCAATAACAGTAAAAAATTAATCATATAATCAAAGTGGTAGATATCAGTGTCCCACCTTTCTTAAGTTTTGAAATTTTCAAAAAAAATGTTGGAAAAAAAAACTGGATGTATAAAGAGGACCAAAGAAAAAACCACATTTAAGTTAAATCCAGGATCCACTGACTCTTAGAATTCAATAACTGAAGTTGTAATACTGGGAAATAGCTATGATTTCTTATTGTCTTAAAGGACAAAATAAATAATTTTGCTTTACTTCTACTGTTCGAAATAGAACCAAAGTTAGACAACATGTCACAAAAAGAAATAAATTTCAAAATATAACGGATAAACTTCATAAGGCTTTTCACTTATACATCTTTTAAACAAGTAAAAATACAAAATGCTTGACTGGAATAGACCACTGACCTATGAATACATCTGCCTGGTAAATAACTAATATATATTATAAAATGGTGTTCTCAGATCACTGTATGTATACTACCTAAAATTTCCTGTGTTTTTTTTTTTTTATAATGACTTTTCTCCAATGATTTGTACCTTACTGCAAATAAAAGTTCTTTCTTCCAATTATATAAATACACATACTATGAATAATTATAAAAATAGAGGTACATGGAAAAGTAGATAAACCATTCCAATCTTACTAAGATTGGAAACATGATCAGAGATTATTAATTTCCCCCCACAAATATCTAGATATTCTTTTCTGAACTCTTTTCCCCAGGTGTAAGTACACATATACATTTCTGCAAAAACAGAATGGATACTTGCATCTTTGCAACTTGCTTTTTAAAAAGGAAGATCATGTAGTAAGCTTTTGCCATATTGATAGGGCAATGGATACATATTGCTTAGACTGCTTTCTAAATTAAGCAAGCACAGCAATCTGAGTTCCATCCACAGTATACAATAGCAGTTGTCAATGCTTGGTGGTATTATTTTTAATCTCACCAATTTAACATATACTATAAAATTATCTTATTTAATTATGCATCTCTTTGATTCCTGGTGAACTTGAACATTCTTTTAAAGATATAATGGCCATCTACCTTTTTTGGGTGTGTGTGTGCAAATTTTCTATTCACTTTTCTTTGACCACGTAACTAACATCCAGATTTTCCTGGTAAGTTATTTTGCCATTACGGCAGTAATGAGAAACTCCTCTTGAGCACTAGTCCCTCTGCTCACACTCACAAGCATGTCTGAGCTCCTCACTAGCTAGTCTCATGTCTCCAACCTGTGTATTAAAGCATGTACACCCAGTAGGATAAATCTTTATCAACCAATATTCTGGTGGTGTAGCAGACCTCACTGTTTTATTCCTGAGTTTCATGAATGGTGAAGTATGATGCTGGTTGTTGATTTCAGATATATAGTTTTCTACATGTTAAGTATCTAATGTTAGTTTTCTAAGTATTTCTTTCTCTTTCTGGTACTTTCATTCAGACATACAGGCCTACTAAGTTAGAGGCTACTTGATCATCATGCATTATTCCTCCATTATACTATTTCTCCAGAAGTTTGTAATGGGAAAGAGTTTTTGGGGAAAGCTGCTGCTGCTGCTGCTGCTAAGTCACTTCGGTCGTCTCCGACTCTGTGCAATTCCACAGACAGAAGCCCACCAGGCTCCCCCATCCCTGGGATTCTCCAGGCAAGAACACTGGAGTGGGTTGCCATTTCCTTCTCCAATGCATGAAAGTGAAAAGTGAGAGGGAAGTCGCTCAGTCATGTCTGACACTTAGCGACCCCATGGACTACAGCCTACCAGGCTCCTCCATCCATGGGATTTTCCAGGCAAGAGTACTGGAGTGGGGTGCCATTGCCTTCTCCATTGGGGAAAGCAAACAGAGTTTAATTTCTGTTTTGGTATTATTATGACCATTGAAAAATATATTCTAACTTTTTTTTTTAGTTCCAAGTCAACAATTTTCTATTTTCCAAGGAAAAAAAGCTTTAATACCTTTTAAACTATCATAACAAAAATGTCATAAAAGTAAAAGCAATCTCCCAATGTATTAAAATATATGCCATGTCAGAAAATAATTATTTATGAAGAAAGTAATCTCAACTCTGATGGAGCTAACCTATAACAGTTTGTATATAAAATATACTTTGGAATTTAAGACTAATAGGTAAGATTTTTCAGTTTTCCAGTAGTCATGTATGGATGTGAGAGTAGGACTATAAAGAAAGCTGAGGGCCGAAGAATTGATGCTTTTGAACTGTGGTGTTGGAGAAGACTCTTGAGAGTCCCTTGGATTGCAAGAAGATCCAACCAGTCCATCCTAAAGAAAATCAGTCCTGAATATTCATTGGAAGGACTGATGCTGAAGCTGAAGCTCCAATACTT